GTTAAGTACAGGTGTCCTTTACAGTGTTGTGTGTACAGGTGTTAAGTACAGGTGTCCTCTCCAGTGTTGTGTGTACAGGTGTCCTCTACAGTGTTGTGTGTACAGTTGTTAAGTATAGGTGGCATCTAAAGTGTTGTGTGTACAGTTGTTAAGTACAGGTGTTAAGTACAGGTGTCCTCCCCAGTGTTGTGTGTACAGGTGTTAAGTACAGGTGTCTTCTACACTGTTGTATGTACAGGTGTTAAGTACAGGTGTCCTTTACAGTGTTGTGTGTACAGGTGTTAAGTACAGGTGTCCTCTCCAGTGTTGTGTGTACAGGTGTCCTCTACAGTGTTGTGTGTACAGTTGTTAAGTATAGGTGTTAAGTACAGGTGGCATCTAAAGTGTTGTGTGTACAGTTGTTAAGTACAGGTTTTAAGTACAGGTGACCTCCCCAGTGTTGTGTGTACAGGTGTCCTCTACAGTGTTGTGTGTACAGTTGTTTAGTACAGGTGTTAAGTACAGGTGTCCTCTCCAGTGTTGTGTGTACAGGTGTTAAGTACAGGTGTCTTTTACAGTGTTGTGTGTACAGGTGTTAAGTACAGGTGTCCTTTACAGTGTTGTGTGTACAGGTGTTAAGTACAGGTGTCCTCTCCAGTGTTGTGTGTACAGGTGTTAAGTACAGGTGTCCTCTCCAGTGTTGTGTGTACAGGTGTCCTCTACAGTGTTGTGTGTACAGGTGACCTCTACAGTGTTGTGTGTACAGTTGTTAAGTACAGGTGTTAAATACAGGTGTCCTCTACAGTGTTGTGTGTACAGGTGTTAAGTACAGGTGTCCTCTACAGTGTTGTGTGTAAAGTTGTTAAGTATAGGTGTTAAGTACAGGTGTCTTCTACAGTGTTGTGTGTACAGGTGTTTAGTACAGGTGTCTTCTACAGTGTTGTGTGTACAGGTGTTAAGTACAGGTGTCTTCTACAGTGTTGTGTGTACAGGTGTTAAGTACAGGTGTCCTCTACAGTGTTTTGTGTAGAGTTGTTAAGTATAGGTGTTAAGTACAGGTGTCTTCTACAGTGTTGTGAGTACAGGTGTTTAGTACAGTTGTTAAGTACAGGTGTCTTCTACAGTGTTGTGTGTACAGGTGTTAAGTACAGTTGTTAAGTACAGGTGTTAAGTACAGGTGGCATCTACAGTGTTGTGTGTACAGTTGTTAAGTACAGGTGTTAAATACAGGTGTCCTCTACAGTGTTGTGTGTACAGGTGTCCTCTACAGTGTTGTGTGTACAGTTGTTAAGTACAGGTGTTAAATACAGGTGTCCTCTACAGTGTTGTGTGTACAGGTGTTAAGTACAGGTGTCCTCTACAGTGTTGTGTGTAAAGTTGTTAAGTATAGGTGTTAAGTACAGGTGTCTTCTACAGTGTTGTGTGTACAGGTGTTTAGTACAGGTGTCTTCTACAGTGTTGTGTGTACAGGTGTTAAGTACAGGTGTCTTCTACAGTGTTGTGTGTACAGGTGTTAAGTACAGGTGTCCTCTACAGTGTTTTGTGTAGAGTTGTTAAGTATAGGTGTTAAGTACAGGTGTCTTCTACAGTGTTGTGAGTACAGGTGTTTAGTACAGTTGTTAAGTACAGGTGTCTTCTACAGTGTTGTGTGTACAGGTGTTAAGTACAGTTGTTAAGTACAGGTGTTAAGTACAGGTGGCATCTACAGTGTTGTGTGTACAGTTGTTAAGTACAGGTGTTAAATACAGGTGTCCTCTACAGTGTTGTGTGTACAGGTGTTAAGTACAGGTGTCCTCTACAGTGTTGTGTGTAAAGTTGTTAAGTATAGGTGTTAAGTACAGGTGTCTTCTACAGTGTTGTGTGTACAGGTGTTTAGTACAGGTGTCTTCTACAGTGTTGTGTGTACAGGTGTTAAGTACAGGTGTCTTCTACAGTGTTGTGTGTACAGGTGTTAAGTACAGGTGTCCTCTACAGTGTTTCGTGTAGAGTTGTTAAGTATAGGTGTTAAGTACAGGTGTCTTCTACAGTGTTGTGAGTACAGGTGTTTAGTACAGGTGTCCTTTACAGTGTTTTGTGTACAGGTGTTAAGTACAGGTGTCTTCTACAGTGTTGTGTGTACAGGTGTTAAGTACAGGTGTCTTCTACAGTGTTGTGTGTACAGGTGTTAAGTACAGGTGTCTTCTACAGTGTTGTGTGTAGAGTTGTTAAGTACAGGTGTCTTCTACAGTGTTTTGTATAGAGTTGTTAAGTACAGGTGTCCTCTACAGTGTTGTGTGTACAGGTGTTAAGTACAGGTGTCCTCTACAGTGTTTTGTGTAGAGTTGTTAAGTATAGGTGTGAAGTACAGGTGTCTTCTACAGTGTTGTGAGTACAGGTGTTTAGTACAGGTGTCCTTTACAGTGTTTTGTGTACAGGTGTTAAGTACAGGTGTCCTCTACAGTGATGTGTGTACAGGTGTTAAGTACAGGTGTCTTCTAGTGTTGTGTGTACAGGTGTTAAGTACAGGTGTCCTCTACAGTGTTGTGTGTACAGGTGTTAAGTACAGGTGTCATCTACAGTGTTGTGTGTACAGGTGTTAAGTACAGGTGGCATCTACAGTGTTTTGTGTAGAGTTGTTAAGTATAGGTGTTAAGTACAGGTGTCTTCTACAGTGTTGTGAGTACAGGTGTTTAGTACAGGTGTCCTTTACAGTGTTTTGTGTAAAGTTGTTAAGTATAGGTGTTAAGTACAGGTGTCTTCTACAGTGTTGTGTGTACAGGTGTTTAGTACAGGTGTCTTCTACAGTGTTGTGTGTACAGGTGTTAAGTACAGGTGTCTTCTACAGTGTTGTGTGTACAGGTGTTAAGTACAGGTGTCCTCTACAGTGTTTTGTGTAGAGTTGTTAAGTATAGGTGTTAAGTACAGGTGTCTTCTACAGTGTTGTGAGTACAGGTGTTTAGTACAAGTGTCCTTTACAGTGTTTTGTGTACAGGTGTTAAGTACAGGTGTCTTCTACAGTGTTGTGTGTACAGGTGTTAAGTACAGGTGTCTTCTACAGTGTCGTGTGTACAGGTGTTTAGTACAGGTGTCTTCTACAGTGTTGTTTGTAGAGTTGTTAAGTACAGGTGTCTTCTACAGTGTTTTGTATAGAGTTGTTAAGTACAGGTGTCCTCTACAGTGTTGTGTGTACAGGTGTTAAGTACAGGTGTCCTCTACAGTGTTTTGTGTAGAGTTGTTAAGTATAGGTGTGAAGTACAGGTGTCTTCTACAGTGTTGTGTGTAGAGTTGTTAAGTACAGGTGTCTTCTACAGTGTTTTGTATAGAGTTGTTAAGTACAGGTGTCCTCTACAGTGTTGTGTGTACAGGTGTTAAGTACAGGTGTCCTCTACAGTGTTTTGTGTAGAGTTGTTAAGTATAGGTGTGAAGTACAGGTGTCTTCTACAGTGTTGTGAGTACAGGTGTTTAGTACAGGTGTCCTTTACAGTGTTTTGTGTACAGGTGTTAAGTACAGGTGTCCTCTACAGTGATGTGTGTACAGGTGTTAAGTACAGGTGTCTTCTAGTGTTGTGTGTACAGGTGTTAAGTACAGGTGTCCTCTACAGTGTTGTGTGTACAGGTGTTAAGTACAGGTGTCATCTACAGTGTTGTGTGTACAGGTGTTAAGTACAGGTGGCATCTACAGTGTTTTGTGTAGAGTTGTTAAGTATAGGTGTTAAGTACAGGTGTCTTCTACAGTGTTGTGAGTACAGGTGTTTAGTACAGGTGTCCTTTACAGTGTTTTGTGTAAAGTTGTTAAGTATAGGTGTTAAGTACAGGTGTCTTCTACAGTGTTGTGTGTACAGGTGTTTAGTACAGGTGTCTTCTACAGTGTTGTGTGTACAGGTGTTAAGTACAGGTGTCTTCTACAGTGTTGTGTGTACAGGTGTTAAGTACAGGTGTCCTCTACAGTGTTTTGTGTAGAGTTGTTAAGTATAGGTGTTAAGTACAGGTGTCTTCTACAGTGTTGTGAGTACAGGTGTTTAGTACAAGTGTCCTTTACAGTGTTTTGTGTACAGGTGTTAAGTACAGGTGTCTTCTACAGTGTTGTGTGTACAGGTGTTAAGTACAGGTGTCTTCTACAGTGTCGTGTGTACAGGTGTTTAGTACAGGTGTCTTCTACAGTGTTGTTTGTAGAGTTGTTAAGTACAGGTGTCTTCTACAGTGTTTTGTATAGAGTTGTTAAGTACAGGTGTCCTCTACAGTGTTGTGTGTACAGGTGTTAAGTACAGGTGTCCTCTACAGTGTTTTGTGTAGAGTTGTTAAGTATAGGTGTGAAGTACAGGTGTCTTCTACAGTGTTGTGAGTACAGGTGTTTAGTACAGGTGACCTTTACAGTGTTTTGTGTACAGGTGTTAAGTACAGGTGTCCTCTACAGTGATGTGTGTACAGGTGTTAAGTACAGGTGTCTTCTAGTGTTGTGTGTACAGGTGTTAAGTACAGGTGTCCTCTACAGTGTTGTGTGTACAGGTGTTAAGTACAGGTGTCATCTACAGTGTTGTGTGTACAGGTGTTAAGTACAGGTGTCCTCTACAGTGTTGTGTGTACAGATGTTAAGTACAGGTGTTAAGTACAGGTGTCTTCTACAGTGTTGTGTGTACAGGTGTTTAGTACAGGTGTTCTTTACAGTGTTTTGTGTACAGGTGTTTAGTACAGGTGTCTTCTAGTGTTGTGTGTACAGGTGTTAAGTAAAGGTGTCCTCTACAGTGTTTTGTGTAGAGTTGTTAAGTACAGGTGTTAAGTACAGGTGTCTTCTACAGTGTTGTGTGTACAGGTGTTTAGTACAGGTGTCCTTTACAGTGTTTTGTGTACAGGTGTTAAGTACAGGTGTCTTCTAGTGTTGTGTGTACAGGTGTTAAGTACAGGTGTCCTCTACAGTGTTGTGTGTACAGGTGTTTAGTACAGGTGGCATCTACAGTGTTGTGTGTACAGGTGTTCTTGTGTCCAGTCTGTATATATGTGTTCCTGTAAGTTGGACAAGCTTGTGACTTCTCTGTCTTGTGCAGGTCACAGAACGGGACCCAGATCTCCTTCCAGCCCCAGCCTCAGATCCTGCCCCAGCAGACTGGGTACTCCCACGCCCAGCCCCCGGGGATGGGAGCCGTGTACCCAAACATGGCCATAGGACCAACAGGCATGTTCCCGATGTACCCGATGGGGCCCTCCGGGATGTACCCAATGAACATCATGCAGATGACAGATGTAAGTTCTTCAGTACTCCAGAACCAGCCTGATTGGCCAGTTGCATGCAAGTTGGTCAGCCGTCCTCTCCAGATGTCCTCTTCAGATGTCCTCTTCAGATGTCCTCTCTAGACGTCCTCTCCAGAAGTCTCAATATCATAATCAGCCAACACACCATTACTTAAACTAGGGCTGGCTGTCGATACAAATCATGGATATCAAAAATGATTAACTTAATATCTATCAGTTATTCATAAATATCTGAGAAGTATCTTTGAGCCAATACGCAAAAAAGATTCAGAAAGAAATCAAAATATTTCACTCCATTGGTGTTGCAGAACATTTATGCATGGATTACTATGTTGACATTTGAGTTATAACAAAAACAGATGCTTTCCGTCTTTGGCAATTAACATGATTGTTAATAACAAGTCTGTTTGGGTAAATCTAAACATTATTTCATCACAATAGTTAACAATTTTCATATCGATAATCATTAATATTTCTTCCCATTGACGATAATTCTGATTATCAATCTTTTATGCTAGCATTACTTACAACAACATGTTGTATATATGAAATAAACTTTAAAATAGATTCTTAGTTACAGCTACTTGCTACAGGGTCACAGTGACTTCTACATGTTGTCTGATGTCTGTTTCAGCCCGGCTCTTCACGCCTCACTGCCCCCGACCTCCACGAGCTGCCATTTACCCCAGTTCATGCTCCAGTCATGGCCCAGGGACCCCAGCCAAGAGGGTAGGTAGACAGGTGCCCCAGCCAAGAGGGTAGGTAGACAGGTGCCCCAGTCTGGAGGATAGGTGGACAGGGACCCCAGCCAAGAGGGTTGGTGAACAGGTGCCCCAGTTAAAGGGGGTAGGTAGAAACGTCCCCCAGTCTAGAGGGTAGGTGGACAGGGACCCCAGTCTAGAGGGTAGCTAGACAGGTGCCCCAGCCAAGAGGGTGGGTGAATAGGTGCCCCAGCCAAGAGGGTAGGTAGACAGTTGCCCCAGTCTGGAGGGTAGGTAGGCAGGTGCCCCAGTCTAGAGGGTAGGTAGACACGTGCCCCAGTCTAGAGGGTAGGTAGACACGTGACCCAGTCTAGAGGGTAGGTAGACAGGTGCCCCAGCCAAGAAAGTGCGTAAAAAGGTGCCCCAGTCAAGAGGGTAGGTAGACAGTTGCCCCAGTCTGGAGGATAGGTGGACAGGGACCCCAGTCTAGAGGGTAGACTATCCACTGTGTTCTGTAAAGGATGTTAATCTATGGCTATCCACTGTTCCGTAAAGGATGTTAATCTATGGCTATCCACTGTGTTCTGTAAAGGATGTTAATCTATGGCTAAACCCTGTTCTGTAAAGGATGTTAATCTATTGTTATACGCTGTTCTGTGAAGGATGTTAATCTATTGCTATACACTGTGTTCTGTAAAGGATGTTAATCTATGGCTATCCACTGTGTTCTGTAAAGGATGTTAATCTATGGCTATCCACTGTGTTCTGTAAAGGATGTTTATCTATGGCTATACACTGTATTCTGTAAAGGATGTTAATCTATTGCTATACACTGTGTTCTGTAAAGGATGTTAATCTATGGCTATACACTGTATTCTGTAAAGGATGTTAATCTATTGCTATCCACTGTTCTGTAAAGGATGTTAATCTATTGCTATCCACTGTGTTCTGTAAAGGATGTTAATCTATGGCTATCCACTGTGTTCTGTAAAGGATGTTAATCTATGGCTATCCACTGTGTTCTGTAAAGGATGTTAATCTATGGCTATACACTGCTCTGTAAAGGATGTTAATCTATGGCTATACACTTTGTTCTGTAAAGGATGTTAATCTATGGCTATCCACTTTGTTCTGTAAAGGATGTTAATCTATGGCTAAACCCTGTTCTGTAAAGGATGTTAATCTATTGTTATACGCTGTTCTGTGAAGGATGTTAATCTATTGCTATACACTGTGTTCTGTAAAGGATGTTAATCTATGGTTATCCACTGTGTTCTGTAAAGGATGTTAATCTATGGCTATACACTGCTCTGTAAAGGATGTTAATCTATGGCTATACACTTTGTTCTGTAAAGGATGTTAATCTATGGCTATCCACTTTGTTCTGTAAAGGATGTTAATCTATGGCTATCCACTGTGTTCTGTAAAGGATGTTAATCTATGGCTATCCACTGTGTTCTGTGAAGGATGTTAATCTATGGCTATCCACTTTGTTCTGTAAAGGATGTTAATCTATGGCTATCCACTGTGTTCTGTGAAGGATGTTAATCTATGGCTATCCACTGTGTTCTGTGAAGGATGTTAATCTATGGCTACACATTGTTTTCTGTAGTGGCATGGGGTTGTCCAGGGCGGCCTATGCTCGACTCTACTCGGCCGGCTTCCCGTCTGTCGTGGATCGGAATGGCGACCCCCCAGATGTGATTGATCCTGGCACGACAGTCAAAGTGAATGTGGCGAAGGAGATGGCAGATCCTTTGCAGTGTAACGAGGTTGTCTTCCAATTCTTAGCCTTTGCCAAGTAAGTTACTAAATATTACAAGTATTTTGCCAGAATAATCTTGTACAGGTAGTTAGTATTATCTTCTTGTTGACACCATTCAGGCTTTTCTAGGTCCTCACACTATAAACCTGATCCGGGTTAGTCTTCAGCAGCCCATGCTTGTTGTAAGATCAGGTGGTCAGGTTTGCTGACTTGGTTGATGCATGTCATCATATCCCAATTGCATAGATCGATGCTCATGATATGAATCAGTGGATTGTCTAGTCCAGTTTTTATCATTTACAGACCACCGTAATATAGCTGGAATATTGCTGGGAGTGACATTAAACGACAAACAAACAAACATCTATCTTCACACTATTTTATGCATTGACAAGATTAGAAGTTGTTATTTTGTATGTTTTCTGCTTCAGGTTTTCCAGTCAGCCAAATGGTTCTTCAAAATCTGCTGGCTCTGTGTTTTTCACATTCCAGTTCTACAGGTTTCCCCAGGTCACATCAGAGAGGTATGTAGAGCCAATTGTCATGCTTGGGTCAAGTGTAGAGCCAATTGTCATGCTTGAGTGAAGTGTAGAGCCAATTGTCATGCTGGAGTGAAGTGTAGAGCTAATTGTCATGCTGGAGTGAAGTGTACAGCCAATTGTCACATCAGAGAGGTATGTACAGCCAATTGTCATGCTGGAGTGAAGTGTACAGCCAATTGTCATGCTGGAGTGAAGTGTAGAGCCAATTGTCATGCTGGAGTGAAGTGTACAGCCAATTGTCACATCAGAGAGGTATGTACAGCCAATTGTCATGCTAGAGTGAAGTGTAGAGCCAATTGTCACATCGGAGAGGTACGTACACCCAATTGTCTTGCTGGAGTGAAGTGTAGAGCTAATTGTCATGCTGGAGTGAAGTGTACAGCCAATTGTCACATCAGAGAGGTATGTACAGCCAATTGTCATGCTAGAGTGAAGTGTACAGCCAATTGTCACATCAGAGAGGTACGACACCCAATTGTCATGCTGGAGTGAAGTGTAGAGCTAATTGTCATGCTGGAGTGAAGTGTAGAGCCAATTGTCATGCTGGAGTGAAGTGTAGAGCTAATTGTCATGCTGGAGTAAAGTGTAGAGTTAATTGTCATGCTGGAGTGAAGTGTAGAGCCAATTGTCATGCTGGAGTGATGTGTAGAGCTAATTGTCATGCTGGAGTGAAGTGTAGAGTTAATTGTCATGCTGGAGTGAAGTGTACAGCCAATTGTCATGCTGGAGTGAAGTGTAGAGCCAATTGTCATGCTGGAGTGAAGTGTAGAGCCAATTGTCATGCTGGAGTGAAGTGTAGAGCCAATTGTCACATCGGAGAGGTACGTACAGCCAATTGTCATGCTGGAGTAAAGTGTACAGCCAATTGTCATGCTGGAGTGAAGTGTAGAGCCAATTGTCATGCTGGAGTGAAGTGTAGAGCCAATTGTCACATCGGAGAGGTACGTACAGCCAATTGTCATGCTGGAGTAAAGTGTACAGCCAATTGTCATGCTGGAGTGAAGTGTAGAACTTTTTGTCATGCTGGAGTGAAGTGTAGAGCTAATTGTCACATCGGATAGGTATGTAGAGCCAATTGTGATGCTGGTGTGACGTGTAGAGCTTATTGTCACATCGGATAGGTATGTAGAGCCAATTGTCATGCTGGAGCGATGTGTATAGCTAATTGTCACATCAGAGAGGTATGTAGAGCCAATTGTCATGCTGGAGTGATGTGTATAGCTAATTGTCACATCAGAGAGGTATGTAGAGCCAATTGTCATGCTGGAGTGATGTGGATCATATGTTGAGCCAATTGTCCTGTCTGTGGGTTACATAGAGCCAATTGTCACATCTGAATCCTACGTAGAGCCAATTGTCACATCTGAATCCTACGTAGAGCCAATTGTCACATCTGAATCCTACGTAGAGCCAATTGTCACATCTGAATCCTACGTAGAGCCAATTGTCACATCTGAATCCTACGTAGAGCCAATTGTCACATCTGAATCCTACGTAGAGCCAATTGTCACATCTGAATCCTACGTAGAGCCAATCGTCACATCTCAATCCTACGTAGAGCCAATTGTCACATCTCAATCCTACGTAGAGCCAATTGTCACATCTCAATCCTACGTAGAGCCAATTGTCCTGTCTGAGAGGCTCCTCAGTCTGTTGACCAGGCAAGGTAAGGTAATGATATTACACTGAAAGTACATGGTGGCCTTCTAGGAATGATGGCAAGATGAGGGCTGCTTCTGGGCTTGAAAGTACTCGTAAACACTTTTCTGGTGACTCCGAGACAACTCCCATCTGCATTATTCCAGAGTTAATCATCACATCCTCAACTTGATCTTCTGTATGTTCCAGATTACTTCTGTCCAAATCCCAGAATGATTTGACCGCAGATCCGCTGTCCTCCCCATTCATCCTGCACAGGATGGAGAAGGATGGGTCCATTCAGGAGGGGCAGCCACCAGGGTTCGAGGTGAGGGACAGGGTGGGATTTAAGGATGGGTCCATTCAGGAGGGGCAGCCACCAGGGTTCGAGGTGAGGGACAGGGTGGGATTAAAGGATGGGTCCATTCAGGAGGGGCAGCCACCAGGGTTCGAGGTGAGGGACAGGGTGGGATTAAAGGATGGGTCCATTCAGGAGGGGCAGCCTCCAGGGTTCGAGGTGAGGGACAGGGTGGGATTAATGGATGGGTCCATTCAGGAGGGGCAGCCACCAGGGTTCGAGGTGAGGGACAGGGTGGGATTAAAGGATGGGTCAGTTCAGGAGGGGCGGGGTTCGGGTTGAGGGATTGGATGGGATTAAAGGATTGGTCAGTTCAGGAGGGGCAGGGTTCAAGGTGAGGGACAGGGTGGGATTAACGGATGGGTCAGTTCAGGAGGGGGGAGGTTTGAGGTGAGGGACTGGGTGGAATTAAAGGATGGGTCCGTTCAGGAGGGGCGGGGTTGGAGGTGAGGGACAGGGTGGGATTAAAGGATGGGTCAGTTCAGGAGGGGCGGGGTTTGAGGTGAGGGACAGGGTGGGATTAAAGGATGGGTCAGTTCAGGAGGGGCAGGGTTCGAGGTGAGGGACAGGGTGGGATTAAAGGATGGGTCAGTTCAGGAGGGGCAGACACATTGTTCTAGTAGCAGTATGTACTCCACCTGGGTAGTGGCCCAAAGCGGCACAGAAGCAAATGATTTTTAAATCCAAATCCAAACATTTTTATGTATGATAACAGTGATGCTGTATGAAATGCTCTTGTGTCTCTTGTCTTCCTACATGTGAACTGATGCTGCAAATCAGGTGAGTGTAGCTCTGTTATCTGACACACCCTGACCTTGTATGATGTGCAGGTGAAGTACTTCCTTGACCCCACGTTTCTGAAGCCCGGGGAGAGCAGCTTGTTTTACCAGCATCTGGCCCGCCAAACCCTCCACATTGACGTCTGGGACGCTGACTCCCTCCTCCTCATTGGCTCATCAGCTGTCGACCTCAAGGTACGTTACACTGCTCAACTGAGCTGTCGACCTCAAGGTACGTTACACTGCTCAACTGAGCTGTCGACCTCAAGGTACGTTACACCACTCAACTGAGCTGTCGACCTCAAGGTACGTTACACCACTCAACTGAGCTGTCGACCTCAAGGTACGTTACACTGCTCAACTGAGCTGTCGACCTCAACGTATATAACACCACTCAACTGAGCTGTCGACCTCAAGGTACGTTACACCGCTCAACTGAGCTGTCGACCTCAAGGTACGTTACACCACTCAACTGAGCTGTCGACCTCAAGGTACGTTACACCGCTCAACTGAGCTGTCGACCTCAAGGTACGTTACACTGCTCAACTGAGCTGTCGACCTCAAGGTACGTTACACCACTCAACTGAGCTGTCGACCTCAAGGTACGTTACACCACTCAACTGAGCTGTGGTTGGCTTATGTAAGTCAGGTCACGCCACTCAACTTTGGTTGGCTTTTAAGAAAGGTGACACTGCTCAAATATGGTCACACTGACAGATCCTTTGTTGGCCCAGATATAGACCCTGACAAAAATCTTGCTCTGACCTACATATAGACCCTGACAGAGACATCTCTGACCTACATATAGACCCTGACAGAGACATCTCTGACCCAGATATAGACCCTGACAGAGATCTATCTCTGACCCAGATATAGACCCTGACAAAGATCTTTCTCTGACTAAGATATAGACCCTGACAAAGATCTTTCTCTGACTCATATAAAGACCCTGACAAAGATCTTTCTCTGACCTATATACAGACCCTGACAAAGATCTTTCTCTGACTCAGATATAGACCCTGACAAAGATCTATCTCTGACCCACATACAGACCCTGACAGATATATCTGTGACCTACATACAGACCCTGACAAAGATCTTTCTCTGTCTCAGATATAGACCCTGACAAAGATCTTTCTCTGACCCACATACAGACCCTGACAGATATATCTCTGACCTACATACAGACCCTGACAAAGATCTTTCTCTGACCCACATACAGAGTCTGACAAAGTTCTTTCTCTGACCCACATACAGACCCTGACAGATATATCTCTGACCTACATACAGACCCTGACAAAGATCTTTCTCTGACCTATATACAGACCCTGACAAAGATCTTTCTCTGACCTATATACAGACCCTGACAAAGATCTTTCTCTGACTCAGATATAGACCCTGACAAAGATCTATCTCTGACCCACATACAGACCCTGACAGATATATCTGTGACCTACATACAGACCCTGACAAAGATCTTTCTCTGTCTCAGATATAGACCCTGACAAAGATCTTTCTCTGACCCACGTACAGACCCTGACAGATATATCTCTGACCTACATACAGACCCTGACAAAGATCTTTCTCTGACCCACATACAGAGTCTGACAAAGTTCTTTCTCTGACCCACATACAGACCCTGACAGATATATCTCTGACCTACATACAGACCCTGACAAAGATCTTTCTCTGACCCACATACAGAGTCTGACAAAGATCTTTCTCTGACCCACATACAGACCCTGACAGATATATCTCTGACCTACATACAGACCCTGACAAAGATCTTTCTCTGACTAAGATATAGACCCTGACAAAGATCTTTCTCTGACTCAGATATAGACCCTGACAAAGATCTTTCTCTGACCTATATACAGACCCTGACAAAGATCTTTCTCTGACTCAGATATAGACCCTGACAAAGATCTTTCTCTGACCCACATACAGACCCTGACAGATATATCTCTGACCTACATACAGACCCTGACAAAGATCTTTCTCTGACCCACATACAGAGTCTGACAAAGATCTTTCTCTGACCCACATACAGACCGTGACAGATATATCTGTGACCTACATACAGACCCTGACAAAGATCTTTCTCTGTCTCAGATATAGACCCTGACAAAGATCTTTCTCTGACCCACATACAGACCCTGACAGATATATCTCTGACCTACATACAGACCCTGACAAAGATCTTTCTCTGACCCACATACAGAGTCTGACAAAGTTCTTTCTCTGACCCACATACAGACCCTGACAGATATATCTCTGACCTACATACAGACCCTGACAAAGATCTTTCTCTGACCCACATACAGAGTCTGACAAAGATCTTTCTCTGACCCACATACAGACCCTGACAGATATATCTCTGACCTACATACAGACCCTGAAAAAGATCTTTCTCTGACCCACATACAGAGTCTGACAAAGATCTTTCTCTGACCCACATACAGACCCTGACAGATATATCTCTGACCTACATACAGACCCTGACAAAGATCTTTCTCTGACCCACATACAGAGTCTGACAAAGATCTTTCTCTGACCCACATACAGACCCTGACAGATATATCTCTGACCTACATACAGACCCTGACAAAGATCTTTCTCTGACCTACATACAGACCCTGACAGATATATCTCTGACCTACATACAGACCCTGACAGATATATCTCTGACCTACATACAGACCCTGACAGATATATCTCTGACCTACATACAGACCCTGACAAAGATCTTTCTCTGACCTACATACAGACCCTGACAGATATATCTTTTACCTACATACAGACCCTGACAGATATATCTCTGACCCACATACAGACCCTGACAGATATATCTCTGACCTACATACAGACCCTGACAAAGATCTTTCTCTGACCTACATACATACCCTGACAGATATATCTCTGACCTACATACAGACCCTGACAGATATATCTCTGACGTACATACAGACCCTGACAAAGATCTTTCTCTGACCTACATACAGACCCTGACAGATATATCTCTGACCTACATACAGACCCTGACAGATATATCTCTGACCCACATACAGACCCTGACAGATATATCTCTGACCTACATACAGACCCTGACAAAGATCTTTCTCTGACCTACATACAGACCCTGACAGATATATCTCTGACCCACATACAGACCGTGACCGATGTTTCTGATTGTTTCAGTACCTGTGCCGGAATGGGAATGAGGCTGTCCAGACAACCTTTGAACTGGACGTTGTGACAAGTGAATACCACGAGGACACAGCCTCTAGTGACAACAAACACGCCGACATGCGTGCTGCCAGCGTGAAGCCCCTCCGCCGGGGCAAGTTACACCTGAGGATGGCCAACATCGGACATCAAGGAGAAGTGAAGAGAGTCGGGCACAGAACAGGTGACAGCAGCGGATTTGATAGCTGTTTACACTCAGACCTGATATAGCTTGGAAGGAGGAAGTTCTTTTTCCCCATTAAATAAACAGGTCACTGAAAGTGTGAATAATTTAACACTTTTGATCATAAATGGTATATACTTCCAGATAATGGAAGTTCTTTCTAATATTATCAAAAGCAGTCTCCTGACTGGAGTCTTATGGACATCTTCATCCCACAACAATAACATGTCAACCCACAATGCTACGCTGTCAGATACAGGGCATGAAAAGCGCGAGATTTACAAAAAACATGTCCAAGTGGTAAGCAACGGGTGTGTTTGGGTGTGCAGTTCCAAGGCAAACCACTACCAACTTTTTCCTTCTATTCAATAGCTGTGTACAACCAGCTGTGACATATCTCCAGTATTCCCCACTGTCCAGGGCCTGTGGGTAGAGCTGTGTACAACCAGCTGTGACATATCTCCCATATTCCCCACTGTCCAGGGCCTGTGGGTATAGCTGTGACATATCTCCCATATTCCCCACTGTCCAGGGCCTGTGGGTATAGCTGTGTACAACCAGCTGTGACATATCTCCCATATTCCCCACTGTCCAGGGCCTGTGGGTATAGCTGTGACATATCTCCCATATTCCCCACTGTCCAGGGCCTGTGGGTATAGCTGTGTACAAGCAGCTGTGACATATCTCCCATATTCCCCACTGTCCAGGGCCTGTGGGTATAGCTGTGACATATCTCCCATATTCCCCACTGTCCAGGGCCTGTGGGTATAGCTGTGTACAACCAGCTGTGACATATCTCCCATATCCCCCACTGTCCAGGGCCTACTGTGATAGCTGTGACATATCTCCCATATTCCCCACTGTCTAGGGCCTGTGGGTATAGCTGTGTACAAGCAGCTGTGACATATCTCCCATATTCCCCACTGTCCAGGGCCTGTGGGTATAGCTGTGTACAACCAGCTGTGACATATCTCCCATATCCCCCACTGTCCAGGGCCTACTGTGATAGCTGTGACATATCCCCCATATTCCCCACTGTCTAGGGCCTGTGGGTATAGCTGTGTACAAGCAGCTGTGACATATCTCCCATATTCCCCACTGTCCAGGGCCTGTGGGTATAGCTGTGACATATCTCCCATATTCCCCACTGTCCAGGGCCTGTGGGTAGAGCTGTGTACAACCAGCTGTGACATATCTCCCATATTCCCCACTGTCCAGGGCCTACTTTGATAGCTGTGACATATCTCCCATATTCCCCACTGTCCAGGGCCTGTGGGTATAGCTGTGACATATCTCCAGTATTCCCCACTGTCCAGGGCCTGTGGGTATAGCTGTGACATATCTCCCATATTCCCCACTGTCCAGGGCCTTTGGGTATAGCTGTGACATATCTCCCATATTCCCCACTGTCCATGGCATGTGGGTATAGCTGTGACATATCTCCAGTATTCCCCACTGTCCAGGGCCTGTGGGTATAGCTGTGACATATCTCACATTTTCCCCACTGTCCAGGGCCTGTGGGTATAGCTGTGACATATCTCCAGTATTCCCCACTGTCCAGGGCCTGTGGGTATAGGTGGGTACACCAAGCTGTGATATATCTCCAGTATTTCCCACTGTCCAGGGCCTGTGGGTATAGGTGGGTACATCAAGCTGTGATATATCTCCAGTATTCCCCACTGTCCAGGGCCTGTGGGTATAGCTGTGTACAAGCAGCTGTGACATATCTCCCATATTCCCCACTGTCCAGGGCCTGTGGGTATAGCTGTGACATATCTCCCATATTCCCCACTGTCCAGGGCCTGTGGGTAGAGCTGTGTACAACCAGCTGTGACATATCTCCCATATTTCCCACTGTCCAGGGCCTACTGTGATAGCTGTGACATATCTCCCATATTCCCCACTCCATGGCCTGTGGGTATAGCTGTGACATATCTCCAGTATTCCCCACTGTCCAGGGCCTGTGGGTATAGGTGGGTACATCAAGCTGTGATATATCTCCAGTATTCCCCACTGTCCAGGGCCTGTGGGTATAGGTGGGTACACCAAGCTGTGACATATCTCCAGTATTCCCCACTGTCCAGGGCCTGTGGGTATAGCTGTGACATATCTCCCATATTCCCCACTGTCCAGGGCCTGTGGGTATAGCTGTGACATATCTCCAGTATTCCCCACTGTCCAGGGCCTGTGGGTATAGCTGTGACATATCTCCAGTATTCCCCACTGTCCAGGGCCTGTGGGTATAGGTGTGTACAACCTGCTGTGACATATCTCAAATATTCCCACTGTCCAGGGCCTGTGGCTACAGCTGTGACATATCTCCCATATTCCCCACTGTCCAGGGCCTGGTGAACATCAAGATGATGATGTTATGTTTATTGCTGGTCGGCTCAACTATTGACATTATGTCTGATTTGATCACTTAGCCAAAAGGTCAATATTAATATAATTTTGTCTTTTCAGAAACAATTCCATTACCGAGCAAGACCCAGGTGATTATCTCTCAGACAGCCGGGAACTCCTCATACAAGGGCGGGAGTCTGATGAGGGGAGAGAATGGTAGGTGTATTGTGAAACCCTTGTGGCACTGACAGACACTTGAAACTGGGTGTCACGCGAGCTTAGCCCCTGACAGGCACTTGAAACTGGGTGTCATGCGAGCTTGTGATGCAGGTTTGAAGAAGCTGGGTGTCTCTAGAGCTCAGCCCCTGACAGACAGTTGTAGTTTAATGGTGGTTCTTTGTGATGCAGGTTTGAAGAAGCTGGGTGTCTCTAGAGCTCAGCCCCTGACAGACAGTTGTAGTTTAATGGTGGTTCTTTGTGATGCAGGTTTGAAGAAGCTGGGTGTCATGCAAGCTCAGCCCAGGACAGACAGTTGTAGTTTAATGGTGGTTCTTTGTGATGCAGGTTTGAAGAAGCTGGGTGTCTCTAGAGCTCAGCCCCTGACAGACAGTTGTAGTTTAATGGTGGTTCTTTGTGATGCAGGTTTGAAGAAGCGGGGTGTCTCTAGAGCTCAGCCCCTGACAGACAGTTGTAGTTTAATGGTGGTTCTTTGTGATGCAGGTTTGAAGAAGCTGGGTGTCTCTAGAGCTCAGCCCCTGACAGACAGTTGTAGTTTAATGGTGGTTCTTTGTGATGCAGGTTTGAAGAAGCTGGGTGTCTCTAGAGCTCAGCCCCTGACAGACAGTTGTAGTTTAATGGTGGTTCTTTGTGATGCAGGTTTGAAGAAGCTGGGTGTCTCTAGAGCTCAGCCCCTGACAGACAGTTGTAGTTTAATGGTGGTTCTTTGTGATGCAGGTTTGAAGAAGCTGGGTGTCTCTAGAGCTCAGCCCCTGACAGACAGTTGTAGTTTAATGGTGGTTCTTTGTGATGCAGGTTTGAAGAAGCTGGGTGTCTCTAGAGCTCAGCCCCTGACAGACAGTTGTAGTTTAATGGTGGTTCTTTGTGATGCAGGTTTGAAGAAGCTGGGTGTCTCTAGAGCTCAGCCCCTGACAGACAGTTGTAGTTTAATGATGGTTCTTTGTGATGCAGGTTTGAAGAAGCTGGGTGTCTCTAGAGCTCAGCCCCTGACAGACAGTTGTAGTTTAATGGTGGTTCTTTGTGATGCAGGTTTGAAGAAGCTGGGTGTCATGCAAGCTCAGCCCAGGACAGACAGTTGTAGTTTAATGGTGGTTCTTTGTTATGCAGGTTTGAAGAAGCTGGGTGTCTCTAGAGCTCAGCCCCTGACAGACAGTTGTAGTTTAATGGTGGTTCTTTGTGATGCAGGTTTGAAGAAGCGGGGTGTCTCTAGAGCTCAGCCCCTGACAGACAGTTGTAGTTTAATGGTGGTTCTTTGTGATGCAGGTTTGAAGAAGCTGGGTGTCTCTAGAGCTCAGCCCCTGACAGACAGTTGTAGTTTAATGGTGGTTCTTTGTGATGCAGGTTTGAAGAAGCTGGGTGTCTCTAGAGCTCAGCCCCTGACAGACAGTTGTAGTTTAATGGTGGTTCTTTGTGATGCAGGTTTGAAGAAGCTGGGTGTCTCTAGAGCTCAGCCCCTGACAGACAGTTGTAGTTTAATGGTGGTCCTTTTGATGCAGGTTTGAAGAAGCTGGGTGTCTCTAGAGCTCAGCCCCTGACAGACAGTTGTAGTTTAATGGTGGTTCTTTGTGATGCAGGTTTGAAGAAGCTGGGTGTCTCTAGAGCTCAGCCCCTGACAGACAGTTGTAGTTTAATGGTGATTCTTTGTGATGCAGGTTTGAAGAAGCTGGGTGTCTCTAGAGCTCAGCCCCTGACAGACAGTTGTAGTTTAATGGTGGTTCTTTGTGATGCAGGTTTGAAGAAGCTGGGTGTCTCTAGAGCTCAGCCCCTGACAGACAGTTGTAGTTTAATGATGGTTCTTTGTGATGCAGGTTTGAAGAAGCTGGGTGTCTCTAGAGCTCAGCCCCTGACAGACAGTTGTAGTTTAATGGTGGTTCTTTGTGATGCAGGTTTGAAGAAGCTGGGTGTCTCTAGAGCTCAGCCCCTGACAGACAGTTGTAGTTTAATGGTGGTTCTTTGTGATGCAGGTTTGAAGAAGCTGGGTGTCTCTAGAGCTCAGCCCCTGACAGACAGTTGTAGTTTAATGGTGGTTCTTTGTGATGCAGGTTTGAAGAAGCTGGGTGTCTCTAGAGCTCAGCCACTGACAGACAATCGTGAAGTGTCCACCATGATGTTTTCAAAGGAACGACAGATGGACAAGGAAGAAACACACAGAGGAGTCGACTCTGAGAGGCAAAGGAAACTTGCCCGGATGAATGCTGTTCGCCAGCAGAGTGGAGAGCAGGAGAATGAAAAAACAACCACCATTATGGTAGGCAGATCTCTCAATGTCACTGTCGCTTTCTTTCTAGAGTAGGCAGACTTGTGAAGGATCTCTCACTGTCACTGTCTCTTTCTCTCTAGGGTAGGCAGACTTGTGAAGGATCTCTCACTGTCACTGTCACTTTCTCTGTAGGGTAGACAGACTAGTGAAGGATTTCTCACTGTCACTGTCACTGTCACTTTCTCTCTAGGGTAGGCAGACTTGTGAAGGATCTCTCACTGTCACTGTCACTGTCACTGTCACTTTCTCTCTAGGGTAGGCAGACTTGTGAAGGATCTCTCACTGTCACTGTCACTTTCTCTCAAGGGTAGACAGACTTGTGAAGGATCTCTCACTGTCACTGTCACTTTCTCTCAAGGGTAGACCGACTTGTGAAGGATCTCTCACTCTCACTGTCACTTTCTCTCTAGGGTAGGCGGACTTGTGAAGGATCTCTCACTGTCACTGTCACTTTCTCTCTAGGGTAGGCAGACTTGTGAAGGAACTGTCACTGTCACTGTCGCTTTCTTTCTAGGGGAGGCAGACTTGTGAAGGATCTCTCACTGTCACTGTCTCTTTCTCTCTAGGGTAGGCAGACTTGTGAAGGATCTCTCACTGTCACTGTCACTTTCTCTCTAGGGTAGGCGGACTTGTGAAGGATCTCTCACTGTCACTGTCACTTTCTCTCTAGGGTAGACAGACTTGTGAAGGATTTCTCACTGTCACTGTCACTGTCACTTTCTCTCTAGGGTAGGCGGACTTGTGTTGGATCTGTCACTGTCACTTTCTCTCTAGGGTAGGCAGACTTGTGTTGGATCTGTCACTGTCACTTTCTCTCTAGGGTAGGCAGACTTGTGAAGGATCTCTCACTGCATAGGATAGGCGAAATTGGCAGTAGGTTTATTAGGAATACTCGGGTATGAACCCATCAAGGACTCTGGGTCCTCTTTGAGAAATAAAAATATTTTCAGGAATAATGGTAATGGTGAACTTTGTTCAGTGACCCATCTGCCAGTTGTGTTGCAGGGTTATCGCAAGGAGAAGACAGAGCGGATGAGGGACATGAAGACGATGGAGATCTACCGCATGCAGACGAAGAGAGAAGGCATCCTCACCATGCTCAGCAACACAATCACCACCGAGCACACCATCTACCCCACCTTTGCCACGGCCGAGTTCTTCGAGTTTGTCCTGAAGAACCCCTACAACGTCCAGCAGAACATCACGATGGACTGCTCTGATCCAGCTGTAGGGTGAGTGTTCTAGACAGCTGGTACGACCCGTGAAGATCCGGGGTAGAATAGGTCTTCAGCAACCCATGCTTGCCGCAAAAGGCAACAATGCTTGTCGTAAGAGGCGACTAACGGGAAAGGGTGGTTGTTTGATGCATGTCATCATTTCCCAATTGCATGGATCGATGCTCATGATTTAATCACTGACCCGATTATTTACAGACAGCCGTCATTATATAGCTGAAATATTGCAGAGTGCAGCGTTAAACAACTAACAAACAAACGAAAAAGCTGGTACATCAGTGTAAGAAGGTGGTGTGATATTGGCTGGAAGCCAAGTTACTGGCCCTACCAACTGATCTGGGCCAAGTCCCCTTTAATATGATCCTTGTTTCCTCAGAGTCATCACAGACGCCCGGGAGTGGCGGCACTTCAAGCAAATAAACAACATCAACACCCATGTAGAGGAGGGCATGTTCAACAAGGATAGAAAGTCCGATGGGCCGGAGATCTTCCTGCGTCCCAAAGAAACAGTCAACATCCCCCTCAAGTATCAGAGTTTCCAGGCCGACCAATCTGTTCAGCCACAGGTGCTTGTTAAGTTCAGTCTGTTCAGCCACAGGTGCTTGTTTAGTTCAGTCTGTTCAGCCACAGGTGCTTGTTTAGTTCACTCTGTTCAGCCACAGGTGCTTGTTTAGTTCAGTCTGTTCAGCCACAGGTGCTTGTTTAGTTCAGTCTGTTAAGCCACAGGTGCTTGTTTAGTTCAGTCTGTTCAGCCACAGGTGCTTGTTTAGTTCACTCTGTTCAGCCACAGGTGCTTGTTTAGTTCAGTCTGTTCAGCCACAGGTGCTTGTTTAGTTCAGTCTGTTCAGCCACAGGTGCTTGTTTAGTTCAGTCTGTTCAGCCACAGGTGCTTGTTGAGTTCAGTCTGTTCAGCCACAGGTGCTTGTTTAGTTCAGTCTGTTCAGCCACTCGTGTTTGCTTAGTTCACTCTGTTCAGCCACAGGTGCTAGTTTAGTTCACTCTGTTCAGCCACAGGTGCTTGTTTAGTTCAGTCTGTTCAGCCACAGGTGTTTGCTTAGTTCAGACCTTTCAGCCACAGGTGCTTGTTTAGTTCAGTCTGTTCAGCTACAGGTGTTTGCTTAGTTCACTCTGTTCAGCCACAGGTGCTTGTTTAGTTCAGCCTGTTTAGCCACAGGTGTTTGCTTAGTTCAGACCTTTCAGCCACAGGTGCTTGTTTAGTTCACTCTGTTCAGCCACAGGTGCTTGTTTAGTTCAGTCTGTTTGGCCACAGGTGCTTGTTTAGTTCAGTCTGTTTGGCCACAGGTGCTTGTTTAGTTCAGTCTGTTTAGCCACAGGTGCTTGTTTAGCCACAGGTGCTTGTTTAGTTCAGTCTGTTTAGCCACAGGTGCTTGTTTAGTTCAGTCTGTTTAGCCACAGGTGCTTGTTTAGTTCAGTCTGTTTAGCCACAGGTGTTTGTTTAGTTCAGTCTGTTTGGCCACAGGTGCTTGTTTAGTTCAGTCTGTTCAGCTACAGGTGTTTGCTTAGTTCACTCTGTTCAGCCACAGGTGCTTGTTTAGTTCAGTCTGTTTAGCCACAGGTGTTTGCTTAGTTCAGACCTTTCAGCCACAGGTGCTTGTTAAGTTCACTCTGTTCAGCCACAGGTGCTTGTTTAGTTCAGTCTGTTTAGCCACAGGTGCTTGTTTAGCCACAGGTGCTTGTTTAGTTCACTCTGTTCAGCCACAGGTGCTTGTTTAGTTCAGTCTGTTCAGCCACAGGTGCTTGTTTAGTTCACTCTTTTCAGCCACAGGTGCTTGTTTAGCTCAGTCTGTTTGGCCACAGGTGCTTGTTTAGTTCAGTCTGTTTAGCCACAGGTGCTTGTTTAGTTCAGTCTGTTTAGCCACAGGTGTTTGTTTAGTTCAGTCTGTTTGGCCACAGGTGCTTGTTTAGTTCAGTCTGTTCAGCTACAGGTGTTTGCTTAGTTCACTCTGTTCAGCCACAGGTGCTTGTTTAGTTCAGTCTGTTTAGCCACAGGTGTTTGCTTAGTTCAGACCTTTCAGCCACAGGTGCTTGTTTAGTTCACTCTGTTCAGCCACAGGTGCTTGTTTAGTTCAGTCTGTTCAGCTACAGGTGTTTGCTTAGTTCACTCTGTTCAGCCACAGGTGCTTGTTTAGTTCAGTCTGTTTAGCCACAGGTGTTTGCTTAGTTCAGACCTTTCAGCCACAGGTGCTTGTTTAGTTCAGTCTGTTCAGCCACAGGTGCTTGTTTAGTTCAGTCTGTTTGGCCACTGGTGCTTGTTTAGTTCAGTCTGTTTGGCCACAGGTGCTTGTTTAGTTCAGTCTGTTTAGCCACAGGTGCTTGTTTAGCCACAGGTGCTTGTTTAGTTCAGTCTATTCAGCCACAGGTGCTTGTTTAGTTCAGTCTGTTTAGCCACAGGTGCTTGTTTAGTTCAGTCTGTTCAGCCACAGGTGCTTGTTTAGTTCAGTCTGTTCAGCCACTGGTGTTTGCTAAGTTCACTCTCTTCAGCCACAGGTGCTTGTTTAGTTCAGTCTGTTCAGCCACAGGTGCTTGTTTAGTTCAGTCTGTTCAGCCACAGGTGTTTGCTTAGTTCAGACCTTTCAGCCACAGGTGCTTGTTTAGTTCACTCTGTTCAGCCACAGATGCTTGTTTAGTTCAGTCTGTTCAGCTACAGGTGTTTGCTTAGTTCACTCTGTTCAGCCACAGGTGCTTGTTTAGTTCAGTCTGTTTAGCCACAGGTGTTTGCTTAGTTCAGACCGTTCAGCCACAGGTGCTTGTTTAGTTCACTCTGTTCAGCCACAGGTGCTTGTTTAGTTCAGTCTGTTTGGCCACAGGTGCTTGTTTAGTTCAGTCTGTTTCGCCACAGGTGCTTGTTTAATTCAGTCTGTTTAGCCACAGGTGCTTGTTTAGCCACAGGTGCTTGTTTAGTTCAGTCTGTTAAGCCACAGGTGCTTGTTTAGTTCACTCTGTTCAGCCACAGGTGCTTGTTTAGTTCAGTCTGTTCAGCCACAGGTGCTTGTTTAGTTCAGTCTGTTCAGCCACAGGTGTTTGCTTAGTTCAGACCTTTCAGCCACAGGTGCTTGTTTAGTTCACTCTGTTCAGCCACAGGTGCTTGTTTAGCTCAGTCTGTTTGGCCACAGGTGCTTGTTTAGTTCAGTCTGTTTAGCCACAGGTGCTTGTTTAGTTCAGTCTGTTTAGCCACAGGTGTTTGTTTAGTTCAGTCTGTTTGGCCACAGGTGCTTGTTTAGTTCAGTGTGTTCAGCTACAGGTGTTTGCTTAGTTCACTCTGTTCAGCCACAGGTGCTTGTTTAGTTCAGTCTGTTTAGCCACAGGTGTTTGCTTAGTTCAGACCTTTCAGCCACAGGTGCTTGTTTAGTTCACTCTGTTCAGCCACAGGTGCTTGTTTAGTTCAGTCTGTTTGGCCACTGGTGCTTGTTTAGTTCAGTCTGTTTGGCCACAGGTGCTTGTTTAGTTCAGTCTGTTTAGCCACAGGTGCTTGTTTAGCCACAGGTGCTTGTTTAGTTCAGTCTGTTCAGCCACAGGTGCTTGTTTAGTTCAGTCTGTTCAGCCACAGGTGCTTGTTTAGTTCAGTCTGTTCAGCCACATGTGCTTGTTTAGTTCAGTCTGTTCACCCACAGGTGCTTGTTTAGTTCAGTCTGTTTAACCACAGGTACCAGTATGGTTATTTTTGTCCCTTCCTTAAACAGTCAAGATCATAGCCTAAAAAAACCCCTTGATACATGTCATTTTTAAGGCAGGACAGAGATCAGAAAGGCTGTGAATCAATGGACTCTCAAGTTAACTCTCAAACAAACTCATTCAGAAAACTGATGTGCCATAGTTTTTCTATATGTCTTTTTCTGCACATTTTACAGTGACTTACTTTTATTGAGTTAAATATGCTATTTTCTCTTTCCAAATCCCCTCTCAAGGTCATACACTCAAAAATGGGTTCTGTCAATAATAACTAGAAAAATGTTCTCTGTAGTAATATTTAGGGTGGAAGATTGAAATGGTGAGGTTTTGAGTGACCTTCTTTGTAGGTCAAGGTCAGTGGAATGGTCATCCATGACATCGATCTGCTTCCTGCAATGCAGTAAAATGTGTCTTGTGTTAGAGATGAGTAATTTAGCGGTATACCAATAACCCCATTGAGTGCTCACCCTCAGCTCACCCTCGCTTGGGGCAGTCGGGTAGCCTGGTGGTTAAAGTGTTCACTCGTCACGCCGAAGACCGGGGTTCGATTCCCGACATGGGTACAATGTATGAAGCCCATTTCTGGTGTCCCCTGCTGGATATTGCTGGAATATTGCTAAAAGGGGCGCAAAACTAATCAACCAGACTCAATCAATCACCCTCGCTGAAGGAAAGCACATGTATCTAACTGTTTGCCGTCAGAAAGGAAAATATCAGTAAAAAGAACCATGCTATACCCCAATGCTGATATTAGTATGTATGAAACAAACTACCGAATACACAATTAATGATCATTGTCTCCTGTCTTGAGTTCTCCCTTGGAGAGTTATGCCTGACAATAAGCATCTCTCAGAAAACATGAAGTGTCAAATGATGGCAGAAAAAAACAATACAGTGACTGACTGACGTGAGTCTGTTGTTCACAGGGCCCTGTTAATCCCTTCCGGAAGAAGGAGGTCAGGCACAAGCAGGGGCAGCAGCAGGAGGACAGCAACATCCTCCACAGTCGCAGCGTGCGAGTGAGTAAGGGGCAGGACAGGGAGGGGAGGGGAGAGTGTTTGGGCAGGGCAGGGTGAGTGTTGGGGCAGGGGTGGGGGAGGGGGAGTGTTTAGGTGGGGGAGGGGGGAGTGTTGGGGCAAGGTGGGAGAAGGTGAGTGTTGGGGCATGGGTGGGTGAGTATTAGGGCAGGGAGGGAGAAGGTGAGTGTTGGGGCATAGGTGGGTGAGTATTAGGGCAGGGAGGGAGAAGGTGAGTGTTGGGGCAGGGGTGGGGGAGTGTTGGGAGGAAGGGAGAAGGTGTGTGTTGGGGCAGGGAGGGAGAAGGTGGGTGTTGGGGCAGGGAGGGAGAAGGTGAGTGTTGGGGCAGGGAAGGAGAAGGTGAGTGTTGGGGCAGGGAAGGAGAAGGTGAGTGTTTGGGCAGGGAAGGAGAAGGTGAGTGTTGGGGCAGGGAAGGAGAAGGTGAGTGTTGGGGCAGGGAAGGAGAAGGTGAGTGTTTGGGCAGGGAAGGAGAAGGTGAGTGTTTGGGCAGGGAAGGAGAAGGTGAGTGTTGGGGCAGGCAAGGAGAAGGTGAGTGTTGGGGCAGGGAGGGAGAAGGTGAGTGTTGGGGCAGGGAAGGAGAAGGTGAGTGTTGGGGCAGGGAAGGAGAAGGTGAGTGTTTGGGCAGGGAAGGAGAAGGTGAGTGTTTTGGGCAGGGAGGGAGAAGGTGAGTGTTTGGGCAGGAAGGGAGAAGGTGAGTGTTTGGGCAGGAAGGGAGAAGGTGAGTGTTTGGGCAGGGAAGGTTGAAGGTGAGTGTTTGGGCAGGGAAGGAGAAGGTGAGTGTTTGGGCAGGGAGGGAGAAAGTGAGTGTTGGGGCAGGGGTGGGGGAGTGTTGGGAGGGAGGGAGAAGGTGAGCGTTGGGGCAGGGCTGGGTGAGTGTTGGGGCAGGGGTGGGGGAGTGTTGGGGCGGGGCAGGGGGACTGTTGGGGCGGGGTAGGGAGAATTTGAGTATTTTGGCAGGGGTGGTTGAGGGTGGGGGCGGGAGTGTGGTCACGGGATTGTGGTCACGGGATTGTGGTCACATGACCATAACTGAACTGTTTCTTGACAGGTCAAAGGTCAATATGGGATTGGCCACCTACCTTCATTATGAATCCGAAAAAAAAGATGAATGTCAAGATCTAATCATAAGTGGTTTCCTACACACAGTTGTTTTCTTTTCACAGGTTATTTTCAAGTCGGAGGATGGCAAGCCCATCGCTGTCTTGCATCTGAAGGTAGAACCCCAGCCTCATGTTGTTGACCAGACGTTCCGCTTCTACCACCCAGAGCAGGCATTCCTGAAGAAATCTGTTCGACTGCAGGATCTCCACGCCTTGCCAGGTTATCCAGTCGATCCATGTAGTGTCTCTGTCATCACATTGTGGACCTGGGAAGATCCGGGGTAGAATTGGTCTTCAGCAACCCATGGCTGCCGTAATTGGGCACTATTCTTGTCATAAAAGGCGACTAACAGGATCCGGTGGTCAGGGTCACTAACTTGGTTGATGCATGTCATCGTATCCCCATGAGATCAATGCCCATGTTGTCAATCACTGGATTGTCTGGTCCAGACTTGATTATTCACAGAACGCCATCATAGACCTGGAATATTGCTGAGTTCAGTGTTAAACAACAACAATGTAAGAAAGAAAAGTCATCATTTCCACACATCTGATACCTACATATCTCATACCTACATATCTCATACCTACACATCTCATACCTACACATCTCATACCTACACATCTCATACCTACATATCTCATACCTACACATCTCATACCTACACATCTCATACCTACTCACCTGATACCTACACATCTCATACATACATATCTCATACATACACATCTTATACCTACATATATCATACCTACATATCTCATACCTACACATCTAATACCTACACATCTCATACCTACATATCTGATACCTACTCATCTCATACCTACACATCTCATACCTACACATCTCATACCTACACATCTCATACCTACACATCTCATACCTACTCATTTCATACCTACATATCTCATACCTACACATCTCATACCTACACATCTCATACCTACTCACCTGATACCTACACATCTCATACACATCTCATACCTACACATCTGATACCTACACATCTCATACCTACTCATCTGATACCTACACATCTCATACCTACACATCTCATACCTACACATCTCATACCTACACATCTCATACCTACACATCTCATACCTACTCATCTGATACCTACACATGTGATACCTACACATCTCATACATACATATCTGATACCTACATACATGTATCTCATACCTACATATCTCATACATACACATCTCATACCTACACATCTCATACCTACACATCTCATACCTACACATCTGTAACTACATATCTCATACCTACACATCTCATACCTACACATCTCATACCTACATATCTGATACCTACATATCTGATACCTACACATCTCATACCTACACATCTCATACATACATATCTCATACCTACACATCTGATACCTACACATCTTATACCTACACATCTGATACCTACACATCTCACACCTACATATCTCATACCTACACATCTCATACCTACACATCTGATACCTACACATCTCATACCTACATATCTCATACCTACACATCTGATACCTACACATCTGATGCCTACATATCTCATACCTACACATATGTTATACCTACACCTCTGATACCTACATATACCTACATATACCTACACTGTTTTACAAAGTTCAAAGTTAGCACAGTGATGTTCACCAACTAGCCTTGGAAATTATAAAACATTTCATAAGAGAGGGAGTCCACACGTCGACATTTACTTGCCTCATGAACAGGAATTAGCTTTGTTTTGCTAAGTGGAAGTTAGTGAGTTTCCTGACTGTTTACTGATGCCTGTTTCTTTGCAGCCAATCAGATCGGGGGCAGCGGCGTCAGCAAGGTGTTTGTCCGCTGCAGTGACACCAACGTGGTCTGCGACAGTCGAGCTACACAGCCAGGTGAACCCCATGACGTGTTTGTCAAGGTGAGATGTAGTTTTTTTTTGGTTTGTTAACCTGGATATATTTTCAAAATATCCTTTTAAAAAATGCAAGAAAAATTACCACTCAACTGTTTTTTCCACGACTGACTACATTGAGTGATTGAGTGGTGGTTGAAAGTACTCCCATGCACTTTCATCACAGAAAAGCCTAAACATCCTGTTTCTATTGTTTGCGGTAATTTATTTTTATGGAGAAAAATGTACTACATGATAAGAAGCAGGAGTTGAAAAATACCATTGCCCGACGACCGTGCCAAGTAAGGTTTAGATGTCGGGCCAGAAATATACGTGTCCTAGCATGCCCGTGGACAAGTAGAGCATACAAAATGAACTGGGTCAAGTTTCACGAGAATGTAATCATGTGATCATGTTACAATATTTCATTGGCTAATATTTTGCTAGTGTCTCAGAATGGCAATCTAATTTGCGTACAGTTAGACCAGTCAACCAATGGGATTAATACACTTCGATGGCATATATGGCACATGCTTCTTGGAAATTGAATGATTGGCAGTTGACTACAGCTTTGATGAAATATTTTATTTGAACACACGTCACGGTAGAGGCTCACCCGCTCTTGATCGCGAAAACTTTGTTGACACATAAGTTAGACTATGACAAATATGACTTTTAACGAGTCAAAAGTATTGCATTTAAGATACAGTGACCCCTCATTTTAGAGTTTAAGATAAGATTAGAATAGTTTATGATTCAAAAAAGATTTATCAAGTATTAATATGTGCTTTCAAAAAAACACATTGTATCCATTCAGCGAATTCAGGTTAATAAACAAGTATAACAAACTTGGTCAATAAAAGTATGAAATTTGATATAAAACATCACTAGATATGATGATTTACCATTTAAAATGTATTTCTTGCTCTCCAAGGCATTGTTTTATATGCAGAGATTAAGATTACCGTGTGTATTTTCTCGTAAACTAAGCCGGAAATAGCCATCAACTGTGCACACGTTTCCTCCAAATTCTAGCGGTGATTCAGTTAAAAAGTACCCAATGATACAACTTCAAAGAATTTTGATGTAATGGTCAGAAGAAATTGTGTCTGAAATTATTATTTTGTCAGGAAAAATATATTCCAATATCGTGTTGTTTTAGTTGCAGCATCCACTAAATATACTTAAGATTATGAGAACCATAAGCATAGCACTTTGGTACAGCTTGTATGCGGGATACGTATGGAACAATTTGACCAGTCACCGTAGGGACTTCTCGCGCTACATGTATTTCCATTGAGAAAACGTTATGTTGACATTTAATAGTCAAACTGACTCAATTATGACTTTTAGCGAGTCATGGTACAACATTTATTTATGATATGTGTATCCATTCTCTTGCAACTTAATTTCGTTTCAAGTCGTCAATAGCATTAATCTGACCGTGGTTGCTGTAGATAACAGTAAAGTGTGCGATCTACCGATCACTTCACATACGATTTCGCTGAAATTATTGTAAACATTATTATAATTATTGAATGAAATTTGAAAATAATTAATAAAATATAGTGCAAACATTAGTCCAGATAAACAATGAAACGTTTTTTATTTCCAGATATTATAATAATAGGATTAAGTTGTGTGCTTCAGTTCGGATTTGTTGACTGGTATTTCCGGTGTTGCGTGATCAGCTGATAATGTTTTCTGAGATGGGAGGGAAACATCGTGTCAGTGTAAAACTTGAGTTCATTAAATACATGTATGAAGTAAATTTTTGGGAGCCATGCGTTACCACGCTATAACCGAATTTACGCTATATTGAGTTGCCAATAGTGAGGGAACACTATCTCTGATTCTCAGTTCTGTAGATGTAACATTTTACTGAATTTATTGGTTGGACTTTGGGCAAGTACATTTTAAAATAGGACAAGTAAGATTGTTGGTCATACTTGCCCTTGGTCAAGTAACATTTTACATAATTTTTCAACCCCTGAGAAGGAGAATTATGAACCTAGCCCAACCCTGCAAGTGTTGTATGTATGTCTGTGAATGTCAGTTGTTCCTTGTCTCCTGCAGTGCCCCCTCGGGCCGTCCCCCCAGGTGAAGCGCTTCCACATGGCCGTCTACATCGACCCCTACCTGTCCCGCCCCACCCAGGTGTGGCAGTTCTTCGTGCACGCGCTGCAGAGGGTGGACGTGTCCTGTATTGACGGTCAGACCAGCAGGTTTGCCCTCATCCTCAGGTAAGGTTCCGCTTGGGTCATGCTGGCGAACTAGGAACTACATTTATTATCACCCCCCATGAAGTGGGCCAGGGATATAGGTACGGAGTTTTTCAAACAAATACTCAAATACTATTTAGAGAAATGAAATTTTACACACTGATGTTACAGGTCATGATCTCACATCAGATCACAAAATGGGTGTAATAAATTCATATTTTTTATGGCCCTTGCTCTGTGCATTGCAACTTAATGCATAATGCGTGAAATGGAACAAATTTTCTCAGAAACTGCTTAAGTTGGATCAATGAAAGTTTTTCATGCTTTTCTAAGAGATAATAAGAAATCTATAATTGTGGGTTCGAATCCAATGATTATGTTTCTACGTTTGTCAGCACCATACCCGTGCTTGTAGGTTTCACCGAAGTGGTAAACGTTTGAGACCTGCATCACTTTGGGCTTTCCTCACACATTAAGCTGACATACCATGATATAAACCCAACTCACTCACTCACTCATTGTGCCTTGTGGTTTAAGCGTTCGCTAGAATGCTGGAATATTGCTTAAAGTGGCATAAGCACTTCATCAATAATCCTCCTGAGACTCATGGATATAGGAATTAGGTGTGGACTTAAGTGTATAAGCACTTCATCAATAATCCTCCTAAGACTCATGGATATAGGAATTAGGTGTGGACTTCAGTGTATAAGCACTTCGTCAATAATCCTCCTGAGACTCATGGATATAGGAATTAGGTGTGGACTTAAGTGTATAAGCACTTCATCAATAATCCTCCTGAGACTCATGGATATAGGAATTAGGTGTGGACTTAAGTGTACATCATGGATGTAGGAACTAGGTGTTGACTTAAGTGTACATCATGGATATAGGAACTAGGTGTTGACTTAAGTGTATAAGCACTTCATCAATAATCCTCCTGAGACTCATGGATATAGGAATTAGGTGTGGACTTAAGTGTACATCATGGATATAGGAATTAGGTGTGGACTTCAGTGTATAAGCACTTCATCAATAATCCTCCTAAGACTCATGGATATAGGAATTAGGTGTGGACTTAAGTGTACACCTTGGTACATGACTCATCAATAATCCTCCTGAGACTCATGGATATAGGAATTAGGTGTGGACTTCAGTGTATAAGCACTTCATCAATAATCCTCCTAAGACTCATGGATATAGGAATTAGGTGTGGACTTAAGTGTACACCTTGGTACATGACTCATCAATAATCTTCCTAAGACTCATGGATATAGGAATTAGGTGTGGACTTAAGTGTACATCTTGGTACATGACTCATCAATAATCCTCCGAAGACTCATGGATATAGGAATTAGGTGTGGACTTAAGTGTACAAGCACTTCATCAATAATCTTCCTAAGACTCATGGATATAGGAATTAGGTGTGGACTTAAGTGTACATCTTGGATATAGGAATTAGGTGTGGACTTCAGTGTATAAGCACTTCGTCAATAATCCTCCTGAGACTCATGGATATAGGAATTAGGTGTGGACTTCAGTGTATAAGCACTTCGTCAATAATCCTCCTGAGACTCATGGATATAGGAATTAGGTGTGGACTTAAGTGTACATCATGGATATAGGAATTAGGTGTGGACTTCAGTGTATAAGCACTTCGTCAATAATCCTCCTGAGACTCATGGATATAGGAATTAGGTGTGGACTTCAGTGTATAAGCACTTCGTCAATAATCCTCCTAAGACTCATGGATATAGGAATTAGGTGTGACTTAAGTGTACATCATGAATATAGGAATTAGGTGTGGACTTAAGTGTACATCATGGATATAGGAATTAGGTGTGGACTTAAGTGTACATCATGGATATAGGAATTAGGTGTTGACTTAAGTGTACATCTTGGTACATGACTCATCAATAATCCTCCTGAGACTCATGGATATAGGAATGAGGTGTGGACTTAAGTGTACATCATGGATATAGGAATTAGGTGTGGACTTAAGTGTACAAGCACTTCATCAATAATCCTCCTGAGACTCATGGATATAGGAATTAGGTGTGGACTTAAGTGTACATCATGGATATAGGAATTAGGTGTGGACTTCAGTGTATAAGCACTTCGTCAATAATCCTCCTGAGACTCATGGATATAGGAATTAGGTGTGGACTTAAGTGTACATCATGGATATAGGAATTAGGTGTGGACTTAAGTGTACATCTTGGTACATGACTCATCAATAATCCTCCTGAGAGTCATGGATATAGGAATGAGGTGTGGACTTAAGTGTACATCATGGATATAGGAATTAGGTGTGGACTTAAGTGTACAAGCACTTCATCAATAATCCTCCTGAGACTCATGGATATAGGAATTAGGTGTGGACTTAAGTGTACATCATGGATATAGGAATTAGGTGTGGACTTCAGTGTATAAGCACTTCGTCAATAATCCTCCTGAGACTCATGGATATAGGAATTAGGTGTGGACTTAAGTGTACATCATGGATATAGGAATTAGGTGTGGACTTCAGTGTATAAGCACTTCATCAATAATCCTCCTAAGACTCATGGATATAGGAATTAGGTGTGGACTTAAGTGTACACCTTGGTACATGACTCATCAATAATCTTCCTAAGACTCATGGATATAGGAATTAGGTGTTGACTTAAGTGTATAAGCACTTCATCAATAATCCTCCTAAGACTCATGGATATAGGAATTAGGTGTTGACTTAAGTGTACACCTTGGTACATGACTCATCAATAATCCTCCGAAGACTCATGGATATAGGAATTAGGTGTGGACTTAAGTGTACACCTTGGTACATGACTCATCAATAATCCTCCGAAGACTCATGGATATAGGAATTAGGTGTGGACTTCAGTGTATAAGCACTTCATCAATAATCCTCCTGAGACTCATGGATATAGGAATTAGGTGTGGACTTAAGTGTACAAGCACTTCATCAATAATCCTCCTGAGACTCATGGATATAGGAATTAGGTGTGGACTTAAGTGTACATCATGGATATAGGAATTAGGTGTGGACTTCAGTGTATAAGCACTTCGTCAATAATCCTCCTGAGACTCATGGATATAGGAATTAGGTGTGGACTTAAGTGTACATCATGGATATAGGAATTAGGTGTGGACTTCAGTGTATAAGCACTTCATCAATAATCCTCCTAAGACTCATGGATATAGGAATTAGGTGTTGACTTAAGTGTACACCTTGGTACATGACTCATCAATAATCTTCCTAAGACTCATGGATATAGGAATTAGGTGTGGACTTAAGTGTACACCTTGGTACATGACTCATCAATAATCTTCCTAAGACTCATGGATATAGGAATTAGGTGTGGACTTAAGTGTATAAGCACTTCGTCAATAATCCTCCTGAGACTCATGGATATAGGAATTAGGTGTTGACTTAAGTGTATAAGCACTTCATCAATAATCCTCCTAAGACTCATGGATATAGGAATTAGGTGTTGACTTAAGTGTACACCTTGGTACATGACTCATCAATAATCCTCCGAAGACTCATGGATATAGGAATTAGGTGTGGACTTAAGTGTACACCTTGGTACATGACTCATCAATAATCCTCCGAAGACTCATGGATATAGGAATTAGGTGTGGACTTAAGTGTACAAGCACTTCATCAATAATCCTCCTGAGACTCATGGATATAGGAATTAGGTGTTGACTTAAGTGTACACCTTGGTACATGACTCATCAATAATCTTCCTAAGACTCATGGATATAGGAATTAGGTGTGGACTTAAGTGTACACCTTGGTACATGACTCATCAATAATCTTCCTAAGACTCATGGATATAGGAATTAGGTGTGGACTTAAGTGTATAAGCACTTCGTCAATAATCCTCCTGAGACTCATGGATATAGGAATTAGGTGTTGACTTAAGTGTATAAGCACTTCATCAATAATCCTCCTAAGACTCATGGATATAGGAATTAGGTGTTGACTTAAGTGTACACCTTGGTACATGACTCATCAATAATCCTCCGAAGACTCATGGATATAGGAATTAGGTGTGGACTTAAGTGTACACCTTGGTACATGACTCATCAATAATCCTCCGAAGACTCATGGATATAGGAATTAGGTGTGGACTTAAGTGTACAAGCACTTCATCAATAATCTTCCTAAGACTCATGGATATAGGAATTAGGTGTGGACTTAAGTGTACACCTTGGTACATGACTCATCAATAATCCTCCGAAGACTCATGGATATAGGAATTAGGTGTGGACTTAAGTGTACATCATGGATATAGGAATTAGGTGTGGACTTAGTGTATAAGCACTTCATCAATAATCCTCCTGAGACTCATGGATATAGGAATTAGGTGTTGACTTAGTGTATAAGCACTTCATCAATAATCCTCCTGAGACTCATGGATATAGGAATTAGGTGTGGACTTAAGTGTACACCTTGGTACATGACTCATCAATAATCCTCCGAAGACTCATGGATATAGGAATTAGGTGTGGACTTAAGTGTACATCATGGATATAGGAATTAGGTGTGGACTTAGTGTATAAGCACTTCATCAATAATCCTCCTGAGACTCATGGATATAGGAATTAGGTGTTGACTTAGTGTATAAGCACTTCATCAATAATCCTCCTGAGACTCATGGATATAGGAATTAGGTGTGGACTTAAGTGTACACCTTGGTACATGACTCATCAATAATCCTCCGAAGACTCATGGATATAGGAATTAGGTGTGGACTTAAGTGTACATCATGGATATAGGAATTAGGTGTGGACTTAGTGTATAAGCACTTCATCAATAATCCTCCTGAGACTCATGGATATAGGAATTAGGTGTGGACTTAAGTGTACACCTTGGTACATGACTCATCAATAATCCTCCGAAGACTCATGGATATAGGAATTAGGTGTTGACTTAAGTGTATAAGCACTTCATCAATAATCCTCCTGAGACTCATGGATATAGGAATTAGGTGTGGACTTCAGTGTATAAGCACTTCATCAATAATCCTCCTAAGACTCATGGATATAGGAATTAGGTGTGGACTTAAGTGTACACCTTGGTACATGACTCATCAATAATCCTCCGAAGACTCATGGATATAGGAATTAGGTGTGGACTTCAGTGTATAAGCACTTCATCAATAATCCTCCTAAGACTCATGGATATAGGAATTAGGTGTGGACTTAAGTGTACACCTTGGTACATGACTCATCAATAATCCTCCTGAGACTCATGGATATAGGAATTAGGTGTGGACTTCAGTGTATAAGCACTTCATCAATAATCCTCCTAAGACTCATGGATATAGGAATTAGGTGTGGACTTCAGTGTATAAGCACTTCATCAATAATCCTCCTAAGACTCATGGATATAGGAATTAGGTGTGGACTTAAGTGTACACCTTGGTACATGACTCATCAATAATCCTCCTGAGACTCATGGATATAGGAATTAGGTGTGGACTTCAGTGTATAAGCACTTCATCAATAATCCTCCTAAGACTCATGGATATAGGAATTAGGTGTGGACTTAAGTGTACACCTTGGTACATGACTCATCAATAATCTTCCTAAGACTCATGGATATAGGAATTAGGTGTGGACTTAAGTGTACATCTTGGTACATGACTCATCAATAATCCTCCGAAGACTCATGGATATAGGAATTAGGTGTGGACTTAAGTGTACAAGCACTTCATCAATAATCTTCCTAAGACTCATGGATATAGGAATTAGGTGTGGACTTAAGTGTACATCTTGGATATAGGAATTAGGTGTGGACTTCAGTGTATAAGCACTTCGTCAATAATCCTCCTGAGACTCATGGATATAGGAATTAGGTGTGGACTTCAGTGTATAAGCACTTCGTCAATAATCCTCCTGAGACTCATGGATATAGGAATTAGGTGTGGACTTAAGTGTACATCATGGATATAGGAATTAGGTGTGGACTTCAGTGTATAAGCACTTCGTCAATAATCCTCCTGAGACTCATGGATATAGGAATTAGGTGTGGACTTCAGTGTATAAGCACTTCGTCAATAATCCTCCTAAGACTCATGGATATAGGAATTAGGTGTGACTTAAGTGTACATCATGAATATAGGAATTAGGTGTGGACTTAAGTGTACATCATGGATATAGGAATTAGGTGTGGACTTAAGTGTACATCATGGATATAGGAATTAGGTGTGGACTTAAGTGTACATCATGGATATAGGAATTAGGTGTGGACTTAAGTGTACATCTTGGTACATGACTCATCAATAATCCTCCTGAGACTCATGGATATAGGAATGAGGTGTGGACTTAAGTGTACATCATGGATATAGGAATTAGGTGTGGACTTAAGTGTACAAGCACTTCATCAATAATCCTCCTGAGACTCATGGATATAGGAATTAGGTGTGGACTTAAGTGTACATCATGGATATAGGAATTAGGTGTGGACTTCAGTGTATAAGCACTTCGTCAATAATCCTCCTGAGACTCATGGATATAGGAATTAGGTGTGGACTTAAGTGTACATCATGGATATAGGAATTAGGTGTGGACTTCAGTGTATAAGCACTTCATCAATAATCCTCCTAAGACTCATGGATATAGGAATTAGGTGTTGACTTAAGTGTACACCTTGGTACATGACTCATCAATAATCTTCCTAAGACTCATGGATATAGGAATTAGGTGTGGACTTAAGTGTACACCTTGGTACATGACTCATCAATAATCTTCCTAAGACTCATGGATATAGGAATTAGGTGTTGACTTAAGTGTATAAGCACTTCATCAATAATCCTCCTAAGACTCATGGATATAGGAATTAGGTGTTGACTTAAGTGTACACCTTGGTACATGACTCATCAATAATCCTCCGAAGACTCATGGATATAGGAATTAGGTGTGGACTTAAGTGTACACCTTGGTACATGACTCATCAATAATCCTCCGAAGACTCATGGATATAGGAATTAGGTGTGGACTTAAGTGTACATCATGGATATAGGAATTAGGTGTGGACTTCAGTGTATAAGCACTTCGTCAATAATCCTCCTGAGACTCATGGATATAGGAATTAGGTGTGGACTTAAGTGTACATCATGGATATAGGAATTAGGTGTGGACTTCAGTGTATAAGCACTTCATCAATAATCCTCCTAAGACTCATGGATATAGGAATTAGGTGTTGACTTAAGTGTACACCTTGGTACATGACTCATCAATAATCTTCCTAAGACTCATGGATATAGGAATTAGGTGTGGACTTAAGTGTACACCTTGGTACATGACTCATCAATAATCTTCCTAAGACTCATGGATATAGGAATTAGGTGTGGACTTAAGTGTATAAGCACTTCGTCAATAATCCTCCTGAGACTCATGGATATAGGAATTAGGTGTTGACTTAAGTGTATAAGCACTTCATCAATAATCCTCCTAAGACTCATGGATATAGGAATTAGGTGTTGACTTAAGTGTACACCTTGGTACATGACTCATCAATAATCCTCCGAAGACTCATGGATATAGGAATTAGGTGTGGACTTAAGTGTACACCTTGGTACATGACTCATCAATAATCCTCCGAAGACTCATGGATATAGGAATTAGGTGTGGACTTAAGTGTACAAGCACTTCATCAATAATCCTCCTGAGACTCATGGATATAGGAATGAGGTGTTGACTTAGTGTATAAGCACTTCATCAATAATCCTCCTGAGACTCATGGATATAGGAATTAGGTGTGGACTTAAGTGTACACCTTGGTACATGACTCATCAATAATCCTCCGAAGACTCATGGATATAGGAATTAGGTGTGGACTTAAGTGTACATCATGGATATAGGAATTAGGTGTGGACTTAGTGTATAAGCACTTCATCAATAATCCTCCTGAGACTCATGGATATAGGAATTAGGTGTGGACTTAAGTGTACATCTTGGATATAGGAATTAGGTGTGGACTTAGTGTATAAGCACTTCATCAATAATCCTCCTGAGACTCATGGATATAGGAATTAGGTGTGGACTTAAGTGTACACCTTGGTACATGACTCATCAATAATCCTCCTGAGACTCATGGATATAGGAATTAGGTGTGGACTTAAGTGTACACCTTGGTACATGACTCATCAATAATCCTCCGAAGACTCATGGATATAGGAATTAGGTGTGGACTTAAGTGTACATCATGGATATAGGAATTAGGTGTGGACTTAGTGTATAAGCACTTCATCAATAATCCTCCTGAGACTCATGGATATAGGAATTAGGTGTGGACTTAGTGTATAAGCACTTCATCAATAATCCTCCTAAGACTCATGGATATAGGAATTAGGTGTTGACTTAAGTGTATAAGCACTTCATCAATAATCCTCCTAAGACTCATGGATATAGGAATTAGGTGTTGACTTAAGTGTACACCTTGGTACATGACTCATCAATAATCCTCCGAAGACTCATGGATATAGGAATTAGGTGTGGACTTAAGTGTACATCATGGATATAGGAATTAGGTGTGGACTTAGTGTATAAGCACTTCATCAATAATCCTCCTGAGACTCATGGATATAGGAATTAGGTGTGGACTTAAGTGTACACCTTGGTACATGACTCATCAATAATCCTCCGAAGACTCATGGATATAGGAATTAGGTGTGGACTTAAGTGTACAAGCACTTCATCAATAATCCTCCTGAGACTCATGGATATAGGAATTAGGTGTTGACTTAAGTGTACACCTTGGTACATGACTCATCAATAATCCTCCGAAGACTCATGGATATAGGAATTAGGTGTGGACTTAAGTGTACATCATGGATATAGGAATTAGGTGTGGACTTAGTGTATAAGCACTTCATCAATAATCCTCCTGAGACTCATGGATATAGGAATTAGGTGTTGACTTAAGTGTACATCTTGGATATAGGAATTAGGTGTGGACTTCAGTGTATAAGCACTTCGTCAATAATCCTCCTGAGACTCATGGCTATAGGAGTTAGGTGTGGACTTCAGTGTATAAGCACTTCGTCAATAATCCTCCTGAGACTCATGGATATAGGAATTAGGTGTGGACTTCAGTGTACATCTTGGATATAGGAATTAGATGTGGACTTAAGTGTACATCATGGATATAGGAATTAGGTGTGGACTTAAGTGTGCATCATGGATATAGGAATTAGATGTGGACTTAAGTGTACATCATGGATATAGGAATTAGGTGTGGACTTAAGTGTACATCATGGATATAGGAATTAGATGTGGACTTAAGTGTGCATCATGGATATAGGAATTAGGTGTGGACTTAAGTGTGCATCATGGATATAGGAATTAGGTGTGGACTTAAGTGTGCATCATGGATATAGGAATTAGGTGTGGACTTAAGTCTACATCTTGGTACATGACTGGCTGCCTGTGGCAGGTAACTTTTCGTCCGAAAAGTGAAATTTTCCTGAGATTTTCCTCCAGCTGCCCGGATTGTCTGGCGTATTCAGTTTTACTCCTCGTTGATTCTAAGCGATTATTTTGCATTATTTCAACTTAATCAAGCTGTGATTTGTCTTAGTTTTTGCGATTTTTCAATATTTATGATATCTGAGTGCAGGCAGGTACTGTTGAAGATGGGCAGGCAACATTTATTGATATCCTGCCCAACTGTCTTTTGGGGTTTTAAAATTATTTCAAACACTGTACGGCCTTCATGTCATGTGTCACTGTTTCAGAGGGACTCAATCCAACCGCCTCGCTCGCTGTTTCTCGTCTCACCCAAGTGAAATGCAGCTGTCTCCCGAAGACCAGTTCCTGTTAACGGCCGGAGCCGTGCACGAACTTAATGTTGCCGTCCGCCCAATGAAGACCGGCAACAGGTTCTACTATCTGAATGTGGTCGATATCGAGTACCACCAGCTGATTCGTACCTGGCTCATCTGTGTCAACTGCCGAGCTCCGATGGTGTCGCGGGCGTTCGAGCTGTCGTTGCCCGTGGGTGGGGGGAAGGGATGCAGCAAGCGGATCAGCTACACCAACCCATACCCCGCCCAGAAGGAGTTCCACCTCCGCTGTGACCGTGACGACCTGCTGCAGTTCAAGGAGACCAAGTTGACCATCAATGGCGGCGAGCAACACGTGATCGGGCTTCGGTTCAATCCCGTCTCCCAGCCTGGCATTGCTGAAATCATGGTCTTCATCAATGATGAGGACGATAAGAATGAAGAGACCTTCCGAATCACTGCCAACTACAAGTATCCAGGAGCATAGAACATTAGTGTAGCTCTTAGACAGTGTATACTTAATGTAGAAGACATACGTTGTGTCGTCTGAACCAGACTTTAGCTGTGTCCACTCGGGCTGACCACACCTGCAAGGGGAGATAACCTGGATATATAGCCTCCCTATCAAGTGTCGGAGTTTGTTGTCTGTACAGGTGTGAGTGATTCTGTAGAGAGAGTGTCTGAACACTCAATCACATGGTGCCTCGTTCCCTGTCTGCATTCACAGCAGGATCAGTGTTATATGTCCTCATCATTCTCCGAGTCCTCAAACATATCAATGTCCTCGGAGTCCTCAAACACGTCAATGTCCTTCGAGTCCTCAAACATATCAATGTCCTTCGAGTCCTCAAACATATCAATGTCTTTCGAGTCCTCAAACACGTTAATGTCCTCCAAGTCCTCAAATTGACATCAACTCGACTACACAAGCAAATGTAATTAGAGCTGTTGGTCTCTGGTACTTTGCCTTTTGAAGATGTTATTGTTATGATATTTATAGCATTCTGTGATATTACATGCGTCCATTGTAAACTAATGTGTAGTCCAAGGAATCTCACGCCTTGTCCGTCCTCTCAAGTCACACATTGTAATCCATCTTTGTCATCAGTCAGCTTCAAAGTAATGACTAGCAAACAACACTGTATACACGTCATACACACAACACGTGTCATGGTTCAGAAAAACAGTTACTTTGAACATATCTGCATGTTACATGTATTTATTTCGGGTTAATAAACTATCAATTCCTACAGCGTTGTTTCAATTGAAGGAGATTGTCAAGACTGCAGATACATTGCATGATATCTGTTCTTGAAATAATTGGCCCTGTTGGGATTCAAGAGCGGAATAGATCCCGACTAGCCCATGCTTGGCTTCCTGTACAAATTTAAGGGAGGAATAGACCCCTTGTATCCTGGCTGATCGTATGTATGATGCCTTGAGTGGATCGTAACCTAGCTGATCATATATATGGTGCCTTAAGTGGATCGTAACCTAGCTGATCGTATGTATGGTGCCTTGAGTGGATCGTAACCTAGCTGATCGTATACATGGTGCCTTGAGTGGATCGTAACCTAGCTGATCGTATACATGGTGCCTTGAGTGGATCGTAACCTAGCTGATCGTATGTATGATGCCTTGAGTGGATCATAACTTAGCTGATCATATATATGGTGCCTTAAGTGGATCGTAACCTAGCTGATCGTATATATGGTGCCTTGAGTGGATCGTAACCTAGCTGATCGTATATATGGTGCCTTAAGTGGATCGTAACCTAGCTGATCGTATACATGGTGCCTTGAGTGGATCGTAACCTAGCTGATCGTATGTATGATGCCTTGAGTGGATCATAACTTAGCTGATCATATATATGGTGCCTTAAGTGGATCGTAACCTAGCTGATCGTATATATGGTGCCTTGAGTGGATCGTAACCTAGCTGATCATATATATGGTGCCTTAAGTGGATCGTAACCTAGCTGATCATATATATGGTGTCTTGAATGGATCGTAACCTAGCTGATCATATGTATGGTGCCTTGAGTGGAAATGTAACCTTGTTTATTGTGTGTATGATGTCTTGAGTGGATCGTAACCTAGCTGATCGTGTGTATGATGTCTTGAATGGATCGTAACCTAGCTGATCGTATGTATGATGTCTTGAGTGGATCGTAACCTAGCTGATCGTGTGTATGATGTCTTGAATGGATCGTAACCTAGCTGATCGTGTGTATGATGTCTTGAATGGATCGTAACCTGGCTGATCGTGTGTATGATGTCTTAAGTGGAAATGTAACCTGGCTGATCGTGTGTATGATGCCTTGAGTGGATCGTAACCTGGCTGATCATGTGTATGATGTCTTGAGTGGATCGTAATCTTGCTGATCGTGTGTATGATGCCTTGAGTGGATCGTAACCTGGCTGATCGTGTGTATGATGTCTTGAGTGGATCGTAACCTGGCTGATCTCGTGTATGATGTCTTGAGTGGATCGTAACCTTGCTGATCGTGTGTATGATGTCTTGAGTGGATCGTAACCTGGCTGATCGTGTGTATGATGCCTTGAGTGGATCGTAACCAGGCTGATCGTGTGTATGATGTCTTGAGTGGAAATGTAACCAGGCTGAGCGTGTGTATGATGCCTTGAGTGGATCGTAACCTGGCTGATCGTATGTATGATGTCTTGAGTGGAAATGTAACCTGGCTGATCGTATGTATGATGTCTTGAGTGGAAATGTAACCTGGCTGATCGTGTGTATGATGCCTTGAGTGGATCGTAACCAGGCTGATCGTGTGTATGATGTCTTGAGTGGAAATGTAACCAGGCTGAGCGTGTGTATGATGCCTTGAGTGGATCGTAACCTGGCTGATCGTGTGTATGATGTCTTGAGTGGATCGTAACCTGGCTGATCGTGTGTATGATGTCTTGAGTGGATCGTAACCTGGCTGAGCATGTGTATGATGCCTTGAGTGGATCGTAACCTGGCTGATCGTGTGTATGATGTCTTGAGTGGATCGTAACCTGGCTGATCGTGTGTATGATGTCTTGAGAGGATCGTAACCTGGCTGATCGTGTGTATGATGTCTTGAGTGGATCGTAACCTAGCTGATCGTAACCTGGCTGATCGTGTGTATGATGTCTTGAGTGGATCATAACCTGGCTGATCGTGTGTATGATGCCTTGAGTGGATCGTAACCTGGCTGATCGTGTGTATGATGGCTTGAGTGGATCGTAACCTGGCTGATCGTGTGTATGATGGCTTGAGTGGATCGTAACCTGGCTGATCGTGTGTATGAAGCCATGACTAGATGGTATCCTGGTTTTGTGTGTGATGCCTTGTGGTGATCGTAACTTTATTGATTGCGTGTATAATGTCAGAATATTTTAATGGATGGTACTTGGCATTAAGGGGATAAAAGAGGAGTGGTCGGCTCAGAGTCAGTGTCTGAGTGGTCTATCCACATTAAACTACAACATGGTATCACAATGGGCTTGCATATAAAACTGGCATAAGTCCAGTCAAGTACAAGCAGCCACACCTACGTCGCTTGATGAGCAAAATAATCTTGAATTTGAAGTAAAAACCCTTTTTACCTTGCCTATTTTCCACATCTTGACGTTGCTCTAGTCCCTCAATAGGCTCCACCCCACCAATTTCAACTATGTCTTGTCCCTCAACAGTCTCCACCCCACCCATTTCCAACTATGTCTTGTCCCTCAATAGGCTCCACCCCACCCATTTCAACTATGTCTTGTCCCTCAATAGCCTCCACCCAACCCATTTCAACTATCTCTTGTCCCTCAACAGTCTCCACCTTACCCAATTCCTATTGTCTTGTCCCCAAAAGGCTCCAACTCGCCAAATCCAACTATGTCTTGTCCCTCAACAGGCTCCACCCAACCCATTTCAACTATGTCTTGTCCCTCAATAGGCTCCACCCCACCCATTTCAACTATGTCTTGTCCCTCAATAGGCTCAACCTCATCCATTTCAACTATGTCTTGTCCCTCAATTGGCTCAACCTCATCCATTTCAACTATGTCTTGTCCCTCAACAGGCTCCACCCCACCCATTTCAACTATCTCTTGTCCCTCAACAGTCTCCACCTTACCCAATTCCTATTGTCTTGTCCCCCAAAAGGCTCCAACTCGCCAAATCCAACTATGTCTTGTCCCTCAACAGGCTCCACCCCACCCATTTCAACTATGTCTTGTCCCTCAATAGGATCCACCCCACCCATTTCAACTATGTCTTGTCCCTCAATAGGCTCAACCTCATCCATTTCAACTATGTCTTGTCCCTCAATTGGCTCAACCTCATCCATTTCAACTATGTCTTGTCCCTCAACAGGCTCCACCCCACCCATTTCAACTATCTCTTGTCCCTCAACAGTCTCCACCTTACCCAATTCCTATTGTCTTGTCCCCCAAAAGGCTCCAACTCACCAAATTCAACTATGTCTTGTCCCTCAACAGGCTCCACCCCACCCATTTCAACTATGTCTTGTCCCTCAATAGGCTCCACCCCACCCATTTCAACTATGTCTTGTCCCTCAATAGGATCCACCCCACCCATTTCAACTATGTCTTGTCCCTCAATAGGCTCCACCCCATCCATTTCAACTATGTCTTGTCCCTCAATTGGCTCAACCTCATCCATTTCAACTATGTCTTGTCCCTCAACAGGCTCCACCCCACCCATTTCAACTATCTCTTGTCCCTCAACAGTCTCCACCTTACCCAATTCCTATTGTCTTGTCCCCCAAAAGGCTCCAACTCACCAAATCCAAATATGTCTTGTCCCTCAACAGGCTCCACCCCACCCATTTCAACTATGTCTTGTCCCTCAATAGGCTCCACCCCACCCATTTCAACTATGTCTTGTCCCTCAATAGGCTCCACCCCACCCATTTCAACTATGTCTTGTCCCTCAATAGGCTCCACCCCACCCATTTCAACTATGTCTTGTCCCTCAATAGGCTCAACCTCATCCATTTCAACTATGTCTTGTCCCTCAATAGGCTCCACCCCACCCATTTCAACTATGTCTTGTCCCTCAATAGGCTCCACCCCACCCATTTCAACTATGTCTTGTCCCTCAACAGGCTCCACCCCACCCATTTCAACTATGTCTTGTCCCTCAATAGGCTCAACCTCATCCATTTCAACTATGTCTTGTCCCTCAATAGACTCCACCTCACCCATTTCAACTATGTCTTGTCCCTCAATAGGCTCCACCCAACCCATTTCAACTATGTCTTGTCCCTCAATAGGCTCCACCCCACCCATTTCAACTATGTCTTGTCCCTCAATAGGCTCCACCTCACCCATTTCAACTATGTCTTGTCCCTCAATAGGCTCCACCCAACCCATTTCAACTATGTCTTGTCCCTCAATAGGCTCCACCCCACCCATTTCAACTATGTCTTGTCCCTCAATAGGCTCCACCCCACCCATGTCCTATTGTCTTGTCCCTCAATAGGCTCCACCCAACCCATTTCAACTATGTCTTGTCCCTCAATAGGCTCCACCCAACCCATTTCAACTGTCTTGTCCCTCAATAGGCTCCACCCCACCCATTTCAACTATGTCTTGTCCCTCAATAGGCTCCACCCCACCCATTTCAACTATGTCTTGTCCCTCAACAGGCTCCACCCCACCCATTTCAACTATGTCTTGTCCCTCAATAGGCTCAACCTCATCCATTTCAACTATGTCTTGTCCCTCAATAGGCTCCACCTCACCCATTTCAACTATGTCTTGTCCCTCAATAGGCTCCACCTCACCCATTTCAACTATGTCTTGTCCCTCAATAGGCTCCACCAAACCCATTTCCAACCATGTCTTGTCCCTCAATAGAATCCAACTCACCAAATCCAACTCTGTCTTGTCACTCAATAGGCTCCACCTAACCGATTTCCAACTATATCTTGTCCCTCAATAGCCTCCACCTCACCTTTGATTCCCCCAATAGGCTCATGCAGTGATTGACAGAGGTCCCTTGGGCCAGCTGAGTTAGGAGGCAAATTTACCATTTGTTGCTCAGTGAGGAACAGCTTCAGTGTAACAAAAAAAGCAATGTGGACAAAATGTAAGTGGCATATTTATTTGTATTGAATTTTACACATTACATTTCGTCCGCATCAGCAGGAGGTGAATATGAAGAGTTAGGCCACATTCAGATGCAGCACTCCAAGCTCGTGATACATTCCAGTACTGTCCTAGCATCCAGCTATTGTCACCACCACCTCCATCTGTCTTGCAGTACAAATAGTAATGCTGACTCGGCGAGTCAATGTCCTGTCCATGCTGCTAACAGGGTCTATCATCACGCAGCCATGCTGCTCTCCCAGAAGAGGTCCATATCACAGACATAAAGCATGACACAACTCATCTTCCCGAGGCAAGTGAGTCCAGCTTCCACCCTTGCCAAACTAGGCTAGGTTTTAAACAAGATGTTCAGATGATTTGATCATCGATCATAGGAGAGGCATATTAGGGACATAACTCGTAATAGCCACAGGTGGCGCTTCGATCAAGCCAAGGAATTCCCGGCTAGTTCAGCAAAGGTGGAAACTGGACTTTTAAAGTCAGTTAACTCTCTTGCCCTGGGAAGATGGACACAACTATGTACAACACTGGTCTTGTGGCTACTTCTTGCCGTCCTTCTTCTGTTGTTTTTGGGCCTTCTCCCGAGCGTTGGACAGGTCGTACTTGAAGCCTTCCTTCTTGGCCGCCGACTCCCGTTTCCTCACCGACTTCATCACCCGATCTTGCAGCTCCACACGGGTCAAAGGTCGCATCTCATCGTCATCAGCCTCGCTTCCTTCACTCTCGTATTCATCACTACAGGGAGAAAGGAAACCATAATGATCATCATTATCTTTGTAGAGTTGAGGCAAGGTTTTTATTGCCATTTTTAAAAAAAAATCCTAATACTTAAATACAATGTGATCCAATATAGCACACAGTTACTTCCCTTTACATGCAAACTGCTCCATGTGTTATGGTCATGGCAGCAATAGTTTGTATGCTTGTTTGTGTAGGGAGGCCCTTTCCCAGGCTGATGGTACACAACTGTTTATTTGGTTACATACTAGTTTGAACAAGCAAAAAAAACCACTGACTGCCTGATAACCAATTTTTTTATGCCTACAGGACTAGTGCATTTCTAATGCTGACTACACAAATCCCCTTCATGTAGTATGGCATGGAGTCATCCCACAGACAACATCCTTACCTTGTCAGCTTGCTCACAGGGTTAACCTATTTGGTCATGTGGACAAGGCGTCCGACCTGTGATCAGAAGGTCCGTGGTTTGAATCCCATCACGGGGAATTTTATGGCTGCTGGTGAGGTGAGGTGAAATGTGGTTTAACGTCGCGTCCAAGATTATTGCACTTATATATCGACGTGCATGCAGGTGTGTGTGTGTGTGTGTGTGTGTGTGTGTGTGTGTGTGGCTGCTTGTACTAGTTCGGACTGATGCCGATTTATAGTGCTAGCTCACTGAGATACCATGCCGCAGTTTAACATGAATACCCCACTCAGACACAGTATACTGACTCTGAGCCGACCAGTCCTTGTTTTAGCCCCTTAATGCAGAGCGCCAGACAGGGTAACAACAAGTACCAACTTTAAACATCTTTTGGTATGACGCGGTTCGGGGATCGAACCCTGGACCTTCTGCTCTCCTGGCGGACGCTCTACCACAAGACCACTGAGGCGGTCTTTTTGGCTGCTACATTTATGAGAAATAGCAGAAAACACCTTTATGTGAACAAACAAAACATGAGTATTGTGTTAAATTGTCTACTGACCCGACGGTAGGGGGCATGACAGGAAGTTGTTGCTGCGGCGCTGTTGGTCCCTCGCCCAGCAAGCCGTGACTCTTGGCTTCATATCTATCCTGGTCCTGAAATCATTGCATCATTGCATTATATACATGCATAACAGAAATATTTTCACTTCAATAATGGACCCGTGAAGATCCAGGGTAGAATAAGTCTTCAGCAACCCATGCTTGCCATAAAAGGCGACTATGCTTGTCGTAAAAGGTGACTAACGGCATCGGGTGGTCAGGCTCGCTCACTTGGTTGATGCATGTCATTGTATCCCAATTGTGTGGATCGATGCTCATGATGTCAATCATTGGATTGTCTGGTCCAGTCTCAATTATTTACAGACCACCGTCATTTAGCTTGAATATTGCTGAGTGCGGTGTTACACAACAAACAAACTTCAATGATGTCAAATTGTGTCTGACATCAGAGAATGTCTTGGTTTTATTAATTAAACTGAAGATCTATCAAACAGCTCATTTGTTAAATTAAAAAATGATTCAATCAACAGCACATCATCCATTTGGATGAGGGGAACCTCATACTAAGACACTGGGGAAAAACAACATCTGTGTTTTTAGCCTGAAGTGATAAACACACAATGCCATTAGAAATTGGTAAAACGTAACAAATGTTACATTTGGGATAACACTTTCGAAACCACCTGCCAGAGTGCAGCACCTAATTGCTAGCACAAAAAGTAAGCGATTTAACCAACACAACCACCAAGACTTCCACATATGCATTTCATTTCTTGAAAAACTACATATGTAAACAATGGTGATGCTCTGGCCATTCCCTGAGGATGGCATCTTAATTTCTTAACTCCCCAAATAAAGGTTATGTATTTCTCCCCTCGAGTCTGACATAGTCGTAGTGTCAAGACAAGGTCACCACTGACAGACGACCCTCTCCTTGCAGTACGACCCTCACCTTGCACAACGACCCTCACCTTGCAGTATGATCCTCACCTTGCACTACGACCCTCACCTTGCACTACGACCCTCACCTTGGAGTACGACCCTCACCTTGCAGTACGACCCACACCATGTGGTACCACCTTCACCTTACAGTACGACCCCCACCTTGCACTACGACCCTCACCTTGGAGTGCGACCCTCACCTTGGAGTACGACCCTCACCTTGCAGTACGTCCCACACTTTGGAGTATGACCCTCACCATGCAGTACCACCTTCACCGTACAGTACGACCCTCACCTTGGAGTACGACCCTCACCTTGCACTAAGACCCTCACCTTGCAGTACAATCCTCACCTTGCAGTACGACCCACACTTTGGAGTACGATGCTCACCATGCAGTACCACCTTCACCTTACAGTACGACCCTCACCTTGAAGTACGATCCTCACCTTGCACTAAGACCCTCACTTTGCACTAAGACCCTCACCTTGCAGTACGACCCTCACCTTGCAGTACGACCCTCACCATGCAGTACCACCTTCACCTTACAGTACGACCCTCACCTTGGAGTACGACCCTCACCTTGGAGTACAACCCTCACCTTGAGAGTAAGACCCTCACCTTGGAGTTTGACCCTAACCTTACAGTATGATCCTCACCTTGGAGTACGACCCTAACCTCGCAGTACGACCCTCACCTTGCAGTATGACCCTCACCTTGGAGTTTGACCCTCACCTTGGAGTTGACATACGCCTGCACTGCCAGCAGCTCATTCGTCCTCTGTTCAATGATGCCCAGGTACTGTATCATGTTGCTCTCTGTCACCCCTGTCGCCGCCCCTAGCATGTCATCAATAGCAGACCTCTCACAGTTGATCTTGTTGAACAGCGAGTCAATACCTGCAAGTAGAAAGGTGAGTGTAGGATGTGCTGTGGTGTGTCCATTACCTGCACGGAGAACTAAGGCAGATGGGGACACACAGGGAGCCTGCTCTCGTCGATGAGACATCACACAGTCTGTCGCAAGTTTCATTTTTAATTCCATTTTCAAACAAAAACATCCTTAAATATTCCGCAACTCGAACACACGACCCTGGCAGTGAAGTGCTACAATACTTATATGTGCTACGCTCCAATATAGAGTGCAGTTCCTTCCCTTTAAATGCACACTGCTTTACTGCGCATCTCATGTTGTGGTCATGGCAGCAATAGTAGTTTGTGTGCTTGTTTTTCCTATTTGCAAGTTTGGTCAATTAAAACATGAAATTTATGATAAAACATCACAAGACATGATGATTTATAAATTTGATGGTATTTGTGTACTGTACGCTGGTCAATCTTTCCTACACAGATATTAAGATCACATGTGTTTGTGTCTTGTAAAAAACCCTGGAAACAACAATTAGCACATTTTCTCCCCAATCTAAGGGTGGTTTACTTTTAAAATACTTAATGTCATGGCCAATATCCAAACTGAAAAGAAATGTCAATACAGTGACAGACATACAAAGTCTTCGGCTTTCCTTACAACTAACGTTCATTTCAAGGTGAGTTAACGGTGAGTTGATACGATTTGCTGATCAGTTCATACATGATTTCGTCGAAATTAATGTAAACAAAATTGAATGAAATCTTGGAAGAAAGTAATATAATATTATGAATGGATGACAAGCGTAGTCCAGATTCTCAATGAACACTGTTAATGTTATACCCAGAAAGTGTAAGAACAGGGCTAACTTGTGTACTTCAGTACGGATTTATTGACATGCTTCTTCCAGTGTTGTGTGCTCACGAGGAATTTGCAGCACACTGAGATATACAGCTTGAATATTGCTGACCCCGTGGTGAGTATATACAGGACACTGAGATATACAGCTTGAATATTGCTGACCCCATGGTGAGTATATACAGGACACTGAGATATACAGCTTGAATATTGTTGACCCCATGGTGAGTATTTGCAGCACACTGAGATATACAGCTTGAATATTGCTGACCCCATGGTGAGTATTTGCAGCACACTGAGATATACAGCTTGAATATTGCTGACCCCGTGGTGAGTATATACAGGACACTGAGATATACAGCTTGAATATTGCTGACCCCATGGTGAGTATTTGCAGCACACTGAGATATACAGCTTGAATATTGCTGACCCCGTGGTGAGTATATACAGTACACTGAGATATACAGCTTGAATATTGCTGACCCCATGGTGAGTATTTGCAGCACACTGAGATATACAGCTTGAATATTGCTGACCCCGTGGTGAGTATATACAGGACACTGAGATATACAGCTTGAATATTGCTGACCCCATGGTGAGTATATACAGGACACTGAGATATACAGCTTGTATATTGCTGACCCCATGGTGAGTATATACAGGACACTGAGATATACAGCTTGAATATTGCTGACCCCATGGTGAGTATTTGCAGCACACTGAGATATACAGCTTGAATATTGCTGACCCCATGGTGAGTATATATACAGGATACTGAGATATACAGCTTGAATATTGCTGACCCCATGGTGAGTATTTGCAGCACACTGAGATATACAGCTTGAATATTGCTGACCCCGTGGTGAGTATATACAGGACACTGAGATATACAGCTTGAATATTGCTGACCCCATGGTGAGTATTTGCAGCACACTGAGATATACAGCTTGAATATTGCTGACCCCTGTGGTGAGTATATACAGGACACTGAGATATACAGCTTAAATATTGCTGACCCCGTGGTGAGTATATACAGGACACTGAGATATACAGCTTAAATATTGCTGACCCCGTGGTGAGTATATACAGGACACTGAGATATACAGCTTGAATATTGCTGACCCCATGGTGAGTATATACAGGACACTGAGATATACAGCTTGAATATTGCTGACCCCGTGGTGAGTATATACAGGACACTGAGATATACAGCTTGAATATTGCTGACCCCATGGTGAGTATTTGCAGCACACTGAGATATACAGCTTGAATATTGCTGACCCCGTGGTGAGTATATACAGGACACTGAGATATACAGCTTGAATATTGCTGACCCCATGGTGAGTATTTGCAGCACACTGAGATATACAGCTTGAATATTGCTGACCCCGTGGTGAGTATATACAGGACACTGAGATATACAGCTTGAATATTGCTGACCCCATGGTGAGTATATACAGGACACTGAGATATACAGCTTGTATATTGCTGACCCCATGGTGAGTATATACAGGACACTGAGATATACAGCTTGAATATTGCTGACCCCATGGTGAGTATTTGCAGCACACTGAGATATACAGCTTGAATATTGCTGACCCCATGGTGAGTATATATACAGGATACTGAGATATACAGCTTGAATATTGCTGACCCCATGGTGAGTATTTGCAGCACACTGAGATATACAGCTTGAATATTGCTGACCCCGTGGTGAGTATATACAGGACACTGAGATATACAGCTTGAATATTGCTGACCCCATGGTGAGTATTTGCAGCACACTGAGATATACAGCTTGAATATTGCTGACCCCTGTGGTGAGTATATACAGGACACTGAGATATACAGCTTAAATATTGCTGACCCCGTGGTGAGTATATACAGGACACTGAGATATACAGCTTGAATATTGCTGACCCCATGGTGAGTATATACAGGACACTGAGATATACAGCTTGTATATTGCTGACCCCATGGTGAGTATATACAGGACACTGAGATATACAGCTTGAATATTGCTGACCCCGTGGTGAGTATATACAGGGCACTGAGATATACAGCTTGAATATTGCTGACCCCATGGTGAGTATTTGCAGCACACTGAGATATACAGCTTGAATATTGCTGACCCCGTGGTGAGTATATACAGGACACTGAGATATACAGCTTGTATATTGCTGACCCCATGGTGAGTATATACAGGACACTGAGATATACAGCTTGAATATTGCTGACCCCATGGTGAGTATTTGCAGCACACTGAGATATACAGCTTGAATATTGCTGACCCCGTGGTGAGTATATACAGGACACTGAGATATACAGCTTGAATATTGCTGACCCCATGGTGAGTATTTGCAGCACACTGAGATATACAGCTTGAATATTGCTGACCCCTGTGGTGAGTATATACAGGACACTGAGATATACAGCTTGAATATTGCTGACCCCATGGTGAGTATTTGCAGCACACTGAGATATACAGCTTGAATATTGCTGACCCCGTGGTGAGTATATACAGGACACTGAGATATACAGCTTGAATATTGCTGACCCCATGGTGAGTATTTGCAGCACACTGAGATATACAGCTTGAATATTGCTGACCCCGTGGTGAGTATATACAGGACACTGAGATATACAGCTTGAATATTGCTGACCCCATGGTGAGTATTTGCAGCACACTGAGATATACAGCTTGAATATTGCTGACCCCGTGGTGAGTATATACAGGACACTGAGATATACAGCTTGAATATTGCTGATTGCGGTATGAAACAAAACGACAAATCTACACTTCCCAGCCTCGTCACATATTCTGAGTTGGAATATTTGTAACTGCGGCATAAAAGAAGACATTATCCCAAGTCTATCTCCTCGTCTCACCTGCTTTCAGCTGATCCAGGATCTTGGACACCTCCTTATACTTCTGCTCGTTGTCATCGGCGTCCTGAGACGCTTCGTTCTGCTTGTCTTCCAGGTTCTTCAGGATGAGCTTCCTCTGAGTCTCAAGGTCAATACCCTCGGCCTTGAACTTCTCAATTTCATCCCTGATCTGGAGACAGGAAAAACAGGAACATACAACGCAATGCTTTGACACCTGATGCAAGAATGTAACTGAAATATCCAATAATTGAAGTTATGCAATATTGATAAGTTGTTGATTTGTCCCACTGCAAACTACCAGGCAATTCATCATTTCATTAGACCCTGAGAGGACAAAGCAGAAGCACTCGCCCACACACAACCACTTACCCCTCCACTAGACTCACCCGCACACTACCGCTTACCCCCCCACTAACCTTGAACGCACACTACCATCTACCCCTCCTCAAGCCTCACCCACACACAACCGCTTACCCCTCCACAAGCCTCACCCACACACCACCGCTTACCCCTCCACAAGCCTCACCCACACACCACCGCTTACCCCTCCACTAACCTTGAACACACACTACCATCTACCCCTCCACTAGACTCGCCCACACACTACCGCCTACCCCTCCACTAGACTCACCTGCACACTAACGCCTACCCCTCCACTAGACTCGCCCGCACACTACCGCCTACCCCTCCACTAAACTCGCCCGCACACTACCGCCTACCCCTCCACTAACCTTGCCCGCACACTACCACCTACCCCTCAACTAGATTCACCCGCACACTACCGCCTACCCCTCCACTAGACTCACCTGCACACTACCGCCTACCCCTCCACTAGACTAGCCCACACGCGACCGCTTACACCTCCACTAGACTCGCCCGCACACTACCGCCTACCCCTCCACTAGACTCGCCCGCACACTACCGCCTACCCCTCCACTAGACTCACCTGCACACTACCGCCTACCCCTCCACTAGACTCGCCCGCACACTACCGCCTACCCCTCCACTAGACTCACCCGCACACTACCGCCTACCCCTCCACTAGACTCGCCCGCACACTACCGCCTACCCCTCCACTAGACTCGCCCGCACACTACCGCCTACCCCTCCACTAGACTAGCCCGCACACTACTGCCTACCCCTCCACTAGACTAGCCCACACACTACGGCCTACCCCTCCACTAGACTAGCCCACATGCGACTGCTCACCCCTGCACTAGACTCGCCCGCACACTACCGCCTACCCCTCCACTAGACTAGCCCACACACTACTGCCTACCCCTCCACTAGACTAGCCCACACACTACCGCCTACCCCTCCACTAGAGTAGCCCACACGCGACCGCTTACCCCTCCACTAGACTCACCCTCACACGACCGCTTACCCCTCCACTAGACTCGCCCGCACACTACCGCTTACCCCTCCACTAGAGTAGCCCACACACGACCGCTTACCCCTCCACTAGACTCACCCTCACACGACCGCTTACCCCTCCACTAGACTCGCCCGCACACTACCGCTTACCCCCTCCAGTATCCTCGCTATATGTCATTGTTCAGGGTTCTACAATGTGAATGTCATCGTTCTGGTCTTTACAATGTGAATGTCATCGTTCAGATCCCTGCAATGTGAATGTCACCATTCAAGGCCCTGCAATGTGAATGTCACCATTCAGGTCCCTGCAATGTGAATGTCATCATTCAAGGCCCTGCAATGTGAATGTCATCATTCAAGGCCCTGCAATGTGAATGTCACCATTCAGGTCCCTGCAATGTGAATGTCATCATTCAAGGCCCTGCAATGTGAATGTCATCATTCAGGTCTTTACAACGTGAATGTCATTGTTCAGGTCCCTGCAATGTGAATGTCATCGTTCACGTCCCTGCAATGTGAATGTCATCGTTCAGGTCCCTGCAATGAGAATGCCACCGTTCAGGTCCCTGCAATGTGAATGTCATCGTTCAGGTCCCTGCAATGTGAATGCCATCGTTCAGGTCCCTGCAATGTCAATGCCATCATTCAGGTCCCTGCAATGTGAATGTCATCGTTCAGGTCCCTGCAATGTAAATGTCATCGTTCAGGTCCCTGCAATGTGAATGTCATCGTTCAGGTCCCTTCAATGTGAATGTCATCGTTCAGGTCCCTTCAATGTGAATGTCATCATTCAGGTCTTTACAATGTGAATGTCATCATTCAGGTCCCTGCAATGTGAATGTCATCGTTCAGGTCCCTTCAATGTGAATGTCATCATTCAGGTCTTTACAATGTGAATGTCATCGTTCAGGTCCCTGCAATGTGAATGTCATCATTCAGGTCTTTACAATGTGAATGTCATTGTTCAGGTCCCTGCAATGTAAATGTCATTGTTCAGGTCCCTTCAATGTGAATGTCATCGTTCAGGTCCCTGCAATGTGAATGTCATCATTCAGGTCTTTACAATGTGAATGTCATCATTCAGGTCCCTGCAATGTGAATGTCATCGTTCAGGTCCCTTCAATGTGAATGTCATCATTCAGGTCCCTGCAATGTGAATGTCATCATTCAGGTCTTTACAATGTGAATGTCATCATTCAGGTCCCTGCAATGTGAATGTCATCGTTCAGGTCCCTGCAATGTGAATGTCATCATATAGGTACTTACAATCTGAATATCATCATTCAGTTTCTCAATCTCATTGTTCTGCTCATTGACATAGTTGAAGAGAGCAAAGTTTCTGTCTTCAATTTCGATGAATCTGTTGACGAGAAGGTCAAGATCGTCCTCCTGGGTCATCTCCTTGATGAGTTCAAAGGCTTGCTCGTACGTCTCCACCGAGTCCTCTTGGCTCTCCTTCTTTCGTTCAGCCTCAAGCGCCTCTGTGAACACAACACTGTCATTGGATGTGGGTATCAACTGTGGGTATCAACTGTGGGTATCAGCTGTGGGGTATCAACTGTGGGTATCAGTTGTAGTAGCAGCTGTGTGTATCAACTGTGGGTATCAGCTATGGGGTATCAGTTGTGGGTATCAGCTATGGGGTATCAGTTGTGGGTATCAGCTATGGGGTATCAGTTGTGGGTATCAGCTGTGGGGTATCAGTTGTGGGTATCAGCTATGGGGTATCAGTTGTGGGTATCATCTATGGGGTATCAGCTGTGGGGTATCAGCTGTGGGGTACCAGTTGTGGGTATCAGCTGTGGGGTATCAACTGTGGGTATCTGCTATGGGGTATCAGTTGTGGGTATCAGCTGTGGGGTATCATCTATGGGGTATCAGCTGTGGGGTATCAACTGTGGGTATCAGCTATGGGGTATCAGTTGTGGGTATCAGCTGTGGGGTATCAACTGTGGGTATCAGCTATGGGGTATCAACTGTGGGTATCAGCTGTAGTAGCAGCTGTGGGTATCAGCTGTAAAGTATCCCTGGCAGCAACAGGAAGAATATTTTTTTTGTAAAACCTGGGACCAAATTACATTCAAGAATATTTTCTGTGACAATAATTTGCCAAATAAACTCCCTTTCAATAAAACAAAATGGTTCAGCCCTAGCTAAGGTTTAGTGGAGATCTGAAGGCTAGACTGAGTGCCGGGACCATCATTTTAGCCATATTAACCCTCTTTTGTTGCAGGAACATAGATACCACCTTTCTTCTGTCGCCAGGCAACAAGTTGCGGATCCTCCTGTCTCTCCTGGCCCTTGATGCCCATGAATTCCTTCAGTTTGCGGTCGTGGTCGATGATGCGGACCAGCTCCTTCATCTCGGCGTTGTGCTGCTGCATGTCCTTGTCCGCCTTGTCCTTCAGCACCAGCATCTTGGCCTGGGCGTCATCCCTGGCAACAACATAACAACATCAGCACCAGCATCTTGGCCTGGGCGTCATCCCTGGCAACGACATAACAACATCAGCACCAGCATCTTGGCCTGGGCGTCATCCCTGGCAACGATATAACAACATCAGCACCAGCATCTTGGCCTGGGCGTCATCCCTGGTAACGACATAACAACATCAGCACCAGCATCTTGGCCTGGGCGTCATCCCTGGCAACGACTTAACAACATCAGCACCAGCATCTTGGCCTGGGCGTCATCCCTAGTAAAAACATAACATCAGCACCAGCATCTTGGCCTGGGCGTCATCCCTGGCAACGACATAACAACATCAGCACCAGCATCTTGGCCTGGGTGTCGTCCCTGGCAACGACATAACAACATCAACACCAGCATCTTGGCCTGGGCTGCGTCCCTAGTAATAACATATTACCTTGCACAACAACTCTGATGCAACGTTAAATTTAAACTCCCTCACCCTTGCACCACAGGCCCCTGTGGAGGACTGGATGTCCTCCACTATTGACCAAGATCTCACCTGGCATCGTAGGCCCCTGTGGAGGACTAGATGTCCTCCACTATTGACCAAGATCTAACCTGGCATCGTAGGCCCCTGTGGAGGACTAGATGTCCTCCACTATTGACCAAGATCTCACCTGGCATCGTAGGCTCCTGTGGAGGACTAGATGTCCTCCACTATTGACCCAGATCTCACCTGGCATCGTAGGCTTCTGTGGAGGACTGGATGTCCTCCACTATTGACCAAGATCTCACCTGGCATCGTAGGCCCCTGTGGAGGACTAGATGTCCTCCACTATTGACCAAGATCTAACCTGGCATCGTAGGCTCCTGTGGAGGACTAGATGTCCTCCACTATTGACCCAGATCTCACCTGGCATCGTAGGCTTCTGTGGAGGACTGGATGTCCTCCACTATTGACCAAGATCTAATCTGGCATCGTAGGCTCCAGTCCTCCACTATTGACTGTGGAGGACTTAATGTCCTTCATTATTGACCCAGATCTCACCTTGCATTGTCGGCTTCTCGAGAGGACTAGATGTCCTCCACTATTGACCCAGATCTCACCTGGCATCGTAGGCTTCTGTGGAGGACTTAATGTCCTTCATTATTGACCCAGATCTCACCTGGCATCGTAGGCTTCTGTGGAGGACTTAATGTCCTTCATTATTGACCCCGATCTCACCTGGCATCGTAGGCTTCTGTGGAGGACTTAATGTCCTTCATTATTGACCCCGATCTCACCTGGCATTGTCGGCTTCTCGAGAGGACTAGATGTCCTCCACTATTGACCCAGATCTCACCTGGCATCGTAGGCTTCTGTGGAGGACTTAATGTCCTTCATTATTGACCCCGATCTCACCTGGCATCGTTGGCTTCTGTGGAGGACTTAATGTCCTTCATTATTGACCCCGATCTCACCTGGCATTGTCGGCTTCTGGAGAGGATTAGATGTCCTCCTCTATTGACCCAGATCTCACCTGGCATCGTAGGCTTCTGTGGAGGACTTAATGTCCTTCATTATTGACCCAGATCTCACCTGGCATCGTAGGCTTCTGTGGAGGACTTAATGTCCTTCATTATTGACCCCGATCTCACCTGGCATCGTTGGCTTCTGTGGAGGACTTAATGTCCTTCATTATTGACCCCGATCTCACCTGGCATCGTAGGCTTCTGTGGAGGACTTAATGTCCTTCATTATTGACCCAGATCTCACCTGGCATCGTAGGCTTCTGTGGAGGACTTAATGTCCTTCATTATTGACCCAGATCTCACCTGGCATCGTAGGCTTCTGTGGAGGACTTAATGTCCTTCATTATTGACCCCGATCTCACCTTGCATCGTAGGCTTCTGTGGAGGACTGGATGTCCTCGCCCATGTCCCGCCGGAGTTGGCGCAACTCTTTCTCCAGTTTTTTGTAGAGATTCTCAAATCTCTTGTGTTCTGTCCTCAGTCCCTGGATCTCATCCCGCAATTTGGCGTTGTCAGACAGAGAATCGTTGAACCGCTTCTTGGACTGAAGAGAAGATGCAAAAATAACAGCCAAATCATCTGAAATCAACATTCATCTCTTGTGACCTGTGTCAGACTGTTCAAACACAGCTATCACAGGGATTGACATAGTCACGTTTCACCTCTCTGTTGGCATACATCAATCCTCCTGAGGGAAGGAATTTGCAAGCAACTGATCATAAAAGTCCAGTTTCAACCATTGCCGAACTAGGCTGGAAATTACAGAGTTCTGTTTCTGATGGACTAACGAGTCCAATCAAAATCATGTAATGAAATTGACATTTGGTTGCCATGTCAACTACCCTGCAGAGCAAGTGTATTGTCAACTTGGCATCGACAGATGTTTTCGAAATCACTTCATGTCTTTTATGAAGGTCCTCGAGTGACATGATGTACTTGGCGATGAAGGACCCATTTTATTACAACAAATGTCAAGTCTCACAAAATCCATGTGAAGTCCCACCTGGTCAAGTCTGTTCTCCAGGACGCGTACAGTCTTCTGCGTCTGTGTTGTATGCTGGGAACTCATGTGAACACCGCCCATGTTTTTATGCTGATTGCGAATCTTCTTTTCCCATTCACGGATTTTAGCATCAAGTTCAACATGATTCTGCTTTTCTTCTTTGATTTCGAGATCACAGTCATCTGCCAGGATATACACAATTTTAAGATCATACCTAAAACATGACATAAAATAAATGAGCAGTAAGTTTAAAACACCATCAGTAGCTCTTATACACCATCAGAAAGTCATATACACCATCATTAAGTTTTATACACCACCAGAAAGTCATATACACCATCAGAAAGTCATATACACCATCAGTAAGTTTTATACACCATCAGAAAGTCATATACATCATCAGAAAGTCATATACACCACCAGTGAGTCTTATACACCATCAGTAAGTCATATACACCATCAGTAAGTTTTATACACCATCAGAAAGTCATATACATCATCAGAAAGTCATATACACCACCAGTGAGTCTTATACACCATCAGTAAGTCATATACACCATCATTAAGTTTTATACACCATCAGAAAGTCATATACACTATCAGAAAGTCGTAAACACCACCAGTGAGTCTTATACACCATCAGTAAGTCATATACACCATCAGTAAGTCATATACACCACCAGTAAGTCTTATACACCATCAGTAAGTCATATACACCATCATTAAGTTTTATACACCATCAGAAAGTCATATACACCATCAGAAAGTCGTAAACACCACCAGTGAGTCTTATACACCATCAGTAAGTCATATACACCATCAGTAAGTCATATACACCACCAGTAAGTCTTATACACCATCAGTAAGTCATATACACTATCATTAAGTTTTATACACCATCAGAAAGTCATATACACCATCAGAAAGTCGTAAACACCACCAGTGAGTCTTATACACCATCAGTAAGTCATATACACCATCATTAAGTTTTATACACCATCAGTAAGTCATATACACCATCAGTAAGTCATATACACCATCAGTAAGTCATATACACCATCAGAAAGTCGTATACACCACCAGTAAGTCTTATACACCATCAGTAAGTCATATACACCATCAGAAAGTTGTATACACGATCAGTAAGTCATATACACCATCAGAAAGTCATATACACCATCAGTAATTCTTATACACCATCAGAAGTCGTATACACCATCAGAAAGTCGTAGACACCATCAGCAAGTATAAGACATCATCAGTAAGTATAACACACCATCAGTAAGTATAACACACCAGTATTACACACCGTCAGTAAGTATACCACACCATCAGTAAGTATAACACATTATCAGCAAGTATGACACACCATCAGTTAGTATAACACCATCAGTAAGTATAACACACCATCAGTAAGTATAACACACCATCAGTAAGTATAACACACCATCAGTAAGTATGACACACCATCAGTAAGTATAACACACCATCAGTAAGTATGACACACCATCAGTAAGTATGACACACCATCAATAAGTATAACACACCATCAGTAAGTATAACACATCATCAGTAAGTATAACACACCATCAGTAAGTATAACACACCATCAGTAAGTATGACACACCATCAGTAAGTATAACACACCATCAGTAAGTATAACACACCATCAGTTAGTATAACACACCATCAGTAAGTATGACACACCATCAGTAAGTATGACACACCATCAGTAAGTATAACACACCATCAGTAAGTATAACACACCATCAGTAAGTATGACACACCATCAGTAAGTATAACACACCATCAGTAAGTATAACACACCATCAGTTAGTATAACACACCATCAGTAAGTATAACACACCATCAGTTAGTATAACACACCATCAGTAAGTATAACACACCATCAGTAAGTATGACACACCATCAGTAAGTATAACACACCATCAGTAAGTATAACACACCATCAGTTAGTATAACACACCATCAGTAAGTATAACACACCATCAGTTAGTATAACACACCATCAGTAAGTATAACACACCATCAGTTAGAATATATAACACACCATCAGTAAGTATAACACACCATCAGTTAGTATATATAACACACCATCAGTAAGTATAACACACCATCAGTTAGTATATATAACACACCATCAGTAAGTATAACACACCATCAGTAAGTATAACACACCATCAGTAAGTATAACACACCATCAGTAAGTATAACACACCAGTTAGCATGTTTGCCCCACGCTGTACAAGCTTGACCCTTGCCACACTAGTCTGTCTGCGTGGTACAACAGTCCTCTGTACATACCTTTTGCCTCCACCAAGGTGACCAGTGTGTCGGTGTGCTCCTCATCACGGATCTGGTTGCTTCGACTTTCAGCCAGACGAAGTTCTTTCAGCAGTTCCTGCTTTTCTTTTTCCAGCTGATTCATTTCTGATCTGGAAGAACATTTGACAGTTTACATCCTAGCACTGGACAATCTACACTGTAATGATAATGTGTTAAATATGGAAGAATGTCATTAATTGCTTCATTATTTACATACAATATCATCCGAGTCCAATTTTTTCCAAAAAGAATGAAAAAATGAAAGCATTTTGCAACTATCATAAAAACAATGAGAGATTTAGTCAATTGTCTGTGTAAGATGACGTTCATAAGCAAAGCTCTCCCATTGTCTTCTGTCTGCAGAGAATGTCACAGCAGTCTTCTACTGGAGTCTACTTGATAAAATAGGGTTTGATTTTCAGTAGAGTTTAGATTATTATTATGTGGGGTTACTTGACCAAAAAGAACTTTACTGGACTCGAGCTTTGGACTAGAGTGAGTGAGTGAGTTGGGTTTAAAGGCCCTTTTAACAGTATTCCAGTTATATCATGGCGTGTCAGCTTAATGTGGGAGGAAAGCCCGAAGTGATGCAGGTCTCGGACGTTTACCACTTCGGTGAAACCCACGAGCACGGGTATGGTGCTGACAAACCTAGAAACATAATTGGGGCGAACCGAGATTCGAGTGAGTGAGTGTGTTTGGTTTTACTCCGCTTTTAGCAATATTCCAGCAATATCACGGCGGGGGACACCAGAAATGGGCTTCACACATTGTACCCATGTCAGGAATCGAACCCGGGTCTTCGGCGTGACGAGTGAACGCTTTAACCACAAGGCTACCCGACCGCCCAACCGGGATTCAAACCCACAATCATAGGTTTCTGGCGTGCCCAAGGGACGCAACTCTGCACAGCGAATCGCGGCCACCCGTGACCCCGCTTTGGACTAGAGGCTAAAGTCACAGACTGTAACAGTACAAACATACCCAGTACATATTCTGTATATTAAGACCATGTACACAACAAAGGCTGACTGTACGTTCAGACCATGTACACACATAATGCTGAGTGTACGTTCAGACCATGTACACACATAAGTCCAACTGTACGTTCAGACCATGTACACACATAATGCTGACTGTACGTTCAGACCATGTACACACATAAGGCTGACTGTACGTTCAGACCATGTACACACATAAGTCCAACTGTACGTTCAGACCATGTACACAACAAAGGCTGACTGTACGTTCAGACCATGTACACACATAAGGCTGACTGTACGTTCAGACCACGAACACACATAAGGCTGACTGTACATTCAGACCATGTACACACATAAGGCTGACTGTATGTTCAGACCATGTACACACATAAGGCTGACTGTACATTCAGAGCATGTACACACATAATGCCAACTGTACATTCAGACCATGTACACACATAAGGCTGACTGTAGGTTCAGACCATGTACACACATAAGGCCAACTGTACGTTCAGACCATTGTACACCAAGTGTGTATGCCGGTAAACATGAAGTTTTTGGATACATGGCGGACTGCAGGAGGACTCATGCCCTGCTACATACTCCCCCAATCAACAAGAGGCACGCAGAAGATGCATAGTGGAGTATCAAGACTCAAATTTAATATGAACATGCTCAGCCCCACGTTTGGCGCCAGTGTCATGCCATATTAATTACATATTGCTGATTGTGTGAACATCATGTGTACGCTTGTAGTTACTTCTGAATAGGTCTTCAGCAACCCACAGCAACTAACAGTATCAGGTGGTCAGGCTCGCTGACTTGGTTGATGCATGTCAACGTATCCCAATTGCGTGGAACCATCGCTCATGATGTCAATCACTGGATTGTCTGTCAAGACTTGATTATTTACAGACCTCCACGTGCGGCGTTAATCAACAAACAAACAAAAGTTACTTCTGTTTCCGGATCATGTTGGTGGACTCCTCTGTGTAGGCGGCGCGGTCACCCTCCATGATGCGGTACTGTCGCTGCAGCTTGAGCAGCTCCCCTTCCTGTAGACCCTCCATGTCGGGGTCACTCACATCGGACCGGGCTGATCGTGGGCGTGGCATTCTGGCACTTTACTTGTCCCTGAAGCATCAGGAAAATAACAAGAACTAGAAATTGTGGTATTTACTGGAAAATGTATTCCTAATTTACACATAATATACTAGCGGTTAAAACAAAAGTGTCTGATTTACTTAATACTTTCTCATAAACTTCATGCGCGTAACAAGTTTTGTATAACAAAATACCAGCCATATTATAGCACTTATCATTGTTATTGTGACAGTCAGTGTACATTTACTGTATTAACAACACAGGAGCTTTACTGCTAATCAGAACATGGAATTTTCTTGAGTTGTGTAAACAGTATGCAGTGTACCGAACACCTTACGCCATTTTGGTAAGGATGTGCACAGGCTCATTCCTTAGTAACGGTTTCTATGTTTTTCAGACGCCAATTTTGTCACCTCACTAAAACAACAGGGGTTTGGGGGGGCTTGCCCCTATCCCCCCCACTCAACAATTGAATTATATTTCATGAAATCTTTAATTACCATAATAGATACAAATACATTATAAGTAGCATCAAATACACATGTCGGATTAGTGTCCAGTATAATGCATGTGTAGTACCCATTTGCAATTGCAGCGGGTTGGGTCGGTTGATAGGATGTACTGGGTAGTAGCCTGCAACCTCGGGGTATCGCGGTACTTGTCATGTACGCTAAACGGAACAAAATGCACTCACTAACCTTTATGTTTATTCGTGTTCTCTGTATCAGATATCATTCATGTTATCAAACAATGCATATTTTACTGATAAAAGTTCATTATTTACATTAGTAGCTCCCAGTAAAAGCCGGCCTCGCGCTGTGTTTGACAAGGGAGAGAACTCCATCCTATCGCGGTACAGAGAAAAGTTTTGTATGGAGGTCTGAATTGGACAAAAAGAGGACATAATTCTACCAACCACTTGGTATGATCATGCAGGACATCAGTGATTTGTCCAGACAAGTGCAAAGACAGCCCAAGTAAAATTCCAAATGTGTTATCAGCAATAGGTATTCAATGCATATTAACCAAAAAGTAAGAGAAAAATATTTTTATAAGTCAACATCAAAATATCAGATATGATATTTAAAGATTGTTTAAAAAAAATTGGATGACAATAATTTGTCACAAAATGGAAAAATGTTAAAAGTCAACAATAAATATATAAAAAGCACTCCTAGTATGCCCAAAGTATGTATTTATCTTTTGGTTACTAGTGAAGAACGTATTTCTAAGTTTGGCATTATGGCCCTTATGATCTCCAAATAGATTCTGGGCACAGAGCGGGAAAAATTGTGCGGACTACGTAACTTCTGTTACCTCATTAGTCGCCATGAATATGCAGATGATCTAGTTCAGGTCAATAGAGAAAGTTTACTTGGGGAACTGCGGGTTATATCGTTGGCCATTGATAGATGGGGGTAAGGCAATATTACAACAGATGCCAGAAATATGTATCAACGGATTAATAACTCCTTACTTACAGCAGACGGAACATTCCGAGGAAATTGAAATTGTTTACAAAGTGAGCACTTCCTGGTTACTGATTTGCATTAATAGACTGCCGCTAAGAGGCGTGTCCCGCGTGAACTATCGGAAATCACAAATGCCGCGATACGATGAATGCCGCGGTACCATGGGGTGCGAGTATACATTTGGACTTGTCAAACCCTAATCAACATTTTTCCCTATGATGGTTATCGTACATAGATCGGTAAATCTATTGATTGGATTGTTTGTTTGAACATAGATCAGTAGTTCTATTTATTCGATTGTTTGTTTGGATCCCAAAGTATGGGCCAACAGATAATAGATGATTTCACATCCACACTGATGATTGTCGACCACAGCTGTGGACAAGTCTGTAAATCTTCCACAATGAAACGTTTCTACATATTACACGGTAGATATGACATGATAACAAAATAAAAAATGATCATTATGACATTTTTTCAAGCCTACACCGAGCAAAGCTGAGGCCAGGAACTCCAACAACAATGGACACAGAAAACATTCAGTGTTTGGCTTTATAATCGATAAATGATGAAGCAATATGAAACAGTCATGAAAATACTAATAAGAAATGCAACTTACTCTTGAGTAAATCCCGTCCGTAGCTGAAGTTCAGGTATGACTGACACCACTGTTTGCGAGCACTTGCTATGATGGCGGAATCCGTTGACGATGGTTGCTAGGGGAAACGGGTAATTCCAAGCTCCTTACAGCGATATCCCGTTCGCGGAGCTACCTATGTTACAAGAGTGTCACGAAAGTGTCACGCGGTGTAAGGAGCTTGAGGTACATCCCCTAAGGGGAAGTAACTGTGTTAAAGCAAAACTCTCTACAGCGAAATAAAGCTCCCGCACTTACCGGCTTATGGTACGATATGAGTCATTTTGAAAAGATGTCACTTTTGAGTTTCCAAAATTACAAAATCCAATTGTTGATATGATATCTTCTTTTTTGTTTAAATGAGTAACATATATCTGAAGCTGTCAATAACTTCAAATGGAATTCTTAATGATAAGGAATAACCATGCAGTTGCCATAGCAACTGAATAATTTCCCAAAACAATGTTTGTGTGAATCATTTTGGTTTGAAATTCATTCAAATGCAAAAAGCATATCTAAAACATATTTCTTTCTTCCTGATTTTGTATTTTAAACTTGAAGTGAGGATGAAGGGCATTTATGAAGTCTCTTATGACCAATATGTATTCAGTGTCAATTCTATAAAATACTGTTACCCCTTCAACATAAATATTACGATTTTTAAAAATTTGCTTATGCACACTCGATGACCCCTGACGTCACAGGGCATTGTTTCGCCGGTGTGACTGGCAACCGAATACTACAAATTACGTCATAGGGTATTGTCACGTGTTTGAAAAGTTTGTGGTACTGTATTCTAACGGTAGGCCCTAAATAATTTTTTAATTTGAAGTTTACACCATATGCGGCTTTTCCATTGGACGAGAGGTTGGTCACATGTCCGCGAAATTGACGTTCATAAGTGTATGAACGACAAAATTTTGACGTTCATACGTTTTTCAGGAGATCGTGTTCTTAAAATGACGTAAACACTGACGGACTACTTCCACATTCCTGGGGAAACCCCTGGGAATTCCCTAGCACTAAAACACGCCGAAGCATTCTTTCTGATCATTTAGACCCTTTATTCTTGGACTCAGCGTTTCAGTATACATTGAGAAATGTCAGAGAGCGTGACTGCATGATTGTTCACGAATGTCCTCGCTGCGGCCTATCCTAATGAACAAACGAAGATATGCACATCTTAACTAGCGTAGTATCGACTCAATCCGTGCCTAGGCTGACAGTGACTGTCTCCAGCAATCTATGAATTTACCTTAGTGTCCGTTTGACGCATCTTTATTCACCTTTCAATGGTCGGCCAGTTGATCAATGATGCCTGACACATGTAATCGCCCCAGGTTCTCTCCCGTCACGTTTATCGTGTTGGCCATTTTGACGTCTTGTACTTGATGTAAATGTATTACGACGCGCTGTCATTGTGACTGACTTACTGAGGTAGTTCTTTACAGACCTTTCTCATCTAATAAGGATATGATTTGATCACGTGTGCTGCGTTTCTGAGGATGTTTCTGAAGAGCAAGTTGTGCAACCATACGCCCATGTCACCTCTCTTTTTGAGGAACTATTTTACTCCGCGATATAGCTGGTTGTTGTATGTCTGTCAGTGTGAAGTCACACGTACTAAATAAAATTGTGTTTAGATCTTGGCCTACATCCTTTGAGTTAAGAAATTGTGATAAAACAAATTATAAGAATTGGCTTTCACTTTGTGTGAAGGTCAATTCTTAATTGTAGTCCTAGGTGACGCACAACAGTAGTATTTGTGGCGTCCTAATGCCTATGATGTAACAGTGACAATAGAGGAAGGGGACAGTGGAGAGCCAACGTTAGGCTTTTGACGTCATAAAGCATATGACGTCAAAGCTAGTGATAATAGTGGGAGGTATGAATATATTATGGTGTGGGTGCACAAATACACATTGAGCTACATGGGGAAGTTTTGAAAATTATTCTTTTGAATTACGTTTAGGTAAATGTTTGTCATTATTAAATAATTTATAAAACGGAAAGACAGTAAAATGACCACTCCCGCAGTCATCAATGTGTTTGCTTACATTTATACAACGTACATTTGGATCTCGAATTTGTTGTCTGTGTACAGTGATTCGGTCTTTCAGTTGCATACCAGTTTCTCCAATATAATGCGTACCACATCCCGCACCTTTTAAAACATACATAACATCTTAACTGCGACAGTTCATGTTGTTTTTAACAGTAAATAGTATATCTTGGCAAAATTGAAATTTGCAGTCTTCAATTACACTCTTCAAAAAAAGAAAAGCATAGTTAAAAAATAAGGATATTTATTAAGCGGAAAAGTATCTACACAGAATATGCGTGAACACAATCAAATGAAATTAGACACAGTGATCGACAAAAGCATTGTCGTCATTGTCAGCATTAATTCAGTTCAGTCATTGCACATGTGTAGCCACAAGGGGGCGTCATGGTCAGTACCTGGTCACACCACCTCTTGCAGCCGTCACTGCTCGACACCTCCTTGGCACAGATTGCACGAGTCGTCGGATTGTTTTCGTGGGGAATTCTTCGCTATTCCTCCTGTAAGGCGTTGGCGAGTTGTGCCAGTGTGTGGGGACGCTGGTGACGTTGACGGACGCGTCGATCAAGTTCGTCCCACAAATGTTCAATCGAGTTGAGATCAGGCGATTTGGACGGCGATGGAAGGACATTGATGTTCCCATTAACAAGGAAAATAAATGTTGCACGTACTGTGTGGGGCCGAGCGTTGTCATGTTGGAACAGCTCCCTCTGGCGGTCCAAAGTTGGGAGGAGGTGAGGACGCAGAATTTGGTCTATGTATCGGTTTGCTGTAAGATTGCCCTGGACAACCACTTACTGTGATCTACCCGTGTAGGATATGGCTCCCCACACCATGACACTCCGTCCACCAAATCGGTCCACCTGTCGAACGCAGATCGGCGCAAAACGTACATGTCGACGTCGGTATACACGTTGTCTTCGATTCCGTCGTTGAAGAAGAAAACGTGACTCATCGCTGAACCAAACGCGTCGACAGTTCCTGAGATCCCATGCCTGTACTCTGTTGCACCACCGGACACGTCGTTGACGGTGTAGACGTCGCAAGACAGGTCCAATTTTTGGTCGTCTCGCTCGAATTCCCACTTCCCTCAGACGATTTCTGATGGTTTGGTCGGAAATTCTTCGCATACCAGGCACTTGTCCAGCAGTGTCCGTTGCTGTAGCAAATCGATTCCAAAGGTGATGCAACCGGATGTACCGATCTTGAGCAGGGGGGGGGGGGGGGTCACTCTTGGTCTCCCACTTCTGGGATGATCTTGAGTGGAATTAGTGCGGGTATATCGATCCCATAGTCGAGATATGGTGCTTTGGTGAACGTTGACGTTCAGACTGGGACTCCCCTGTTCCAAACGTCCAATGGCGATATTTCGGTCAGCTGCCGTTAATCTTGGCATTTTTCGATCTACGTTCACGTTAGAAAATTCGTAATGAACTGAATTTTGTACGGTATTTTATAGTCAGTGTCTCTACTCTTGTTTCCAACACTTTGCACGTACACTGTGCTGAAAACATTTTTTGAAAGCAATTTCCATGCATCCTTTGCATTTTTGCTGATAAACGTTTACCAAAAACATTTTGAGATGTGTTTGCGCGCAATGCACAACAAACATAACATGATTAACGGGAATCAAACATAAGAATTGTCTTTATGACGATTGCTGAGGGAAAAAAATCTAATTGGAATTCTCAAAACACCTAGGCGTTTCTTTCTTTGGAGAGTGTACGATGTACCCCTATTATTGGCTGCACTATTGTACACCTAACTCTGACTTAAGCATCCCTCTAAGGACCCACTAAGAACCCACACTTCCGGTTGTGAGTTTACGTAGTAAAGCATAAGGATATGTAAATAATTCTGCTGCTCCACAAATCTCCGTTATTGATGATAATCTTAACCGTAAGGGAACAGCCATGACAAGGAGGGACATCCGCCATATTTCGGACGAGGCATACCACACATTAAAAATTACTGTAAGTGCTCTAAAATCTCACCCCCAAGAAATCACCAATCACAAATCAAGCGTGAGATTACCAGATAAGCCTGAGTTACACAATGGAGTGGAAACTTTCAGTCATAAGACTCATTTTGATAACGGGCTAAAAATGCTCTCACCGTAATTCTGGTTGCTCATTAAAACCTTAGAAAATAAAACTGCAAGAAGAGGTAAACTCATGTTTGGCCCAGAGCTGAATTCATATAAAGATATGACAGAAAAAATAGATATGTACGACACGAGCGATTACCCAAAAGAAAATCCACTGCACAGCGTAGTAAATAAAAAGGTGTTAGGTAAGATGAAGGATGAATGTGCTGGGACCCCTATAGCGGAGTATGTCGGAGTAAGACTTAAGATGTATTCCATAAAGAAGTCAGATAATAGGGAGAAAAGAAAAGCTAAGGGTGTTAAGAAGTAGGTGGTAAAAAAGCATATCAAACACGAACAGTATAAAGAAGCATTATTCAGTGGTAGAACAGACAGACAGACAGACAGTTTATTCAGTAAGAAGGCCATAGGCCCATAATACAGACAATGTTTGATTGCATGAACTACGCATGCCAAGGAAGTAGTCGATTTAAGTTTCTCTTAGCTGTTGGACTTTATATAGATATAAACATGTGTTATATACAACATCAAAGTTTTCTGATGAAATAATTTCAGTAAAAGATGTTACAGTTTGAAACTTGATATACTGTTTAAGATACATGTAAGATATTTTTCTACATTCAACAGGGATTTAAAATGTTTATAATAAAAGGTATCAGATATACTATTGATAGAACTACACCATGATTGTTGAAGGTTATCAAATAATCTTTGCTTAAAAAGATGAATAAATACCTTCACATTGCCAACATCTTGTGTTAACCATACATATCCAAAACCTAATTTAAACAAAATATTCTTAATGTGAGTAGCCCATGTGGTGCGACCAGAATGGTCCAGTGATTTGAGCATTAAATAACATTGGCGAGGCAGTCTGCGCTCATCCAAACGCAGTAGCCTGCACCAATACTTGATGGCCCTTGTGGTATACACAAGTTGGAGAGGGGCTCTTCCGCACTCTCCTAAAACCATTGCATTGTTTGTTGTTTTACCTGTATTTAGAAACCATTTACACATTTTGTTCTGTACATCTTCAATAATTTTACAATATGAGATGCCCCATATTTCTGCGCCGTAACAGACAATAGGCACAATCATAGCATCAAATATCTTAAATAAATCTTGACAGGGTATATTACCAACTTTCTTTTGATATCTATATAATGTCATAATGGCCTTGTTACTCTGTGCAGCAAGAGTATTTAGTGCCTTAGTCCAAACAAGTTTGGGCGTGAACACAATACCCAAATATCTATAAAACGACACGGTTTCAATATATACACTATTAAATTTCCATTTTTCATAATGTCTAAGGGGTCCACCATTTCTGAATACCATAACTTTGGTTTTCTTCAAGTTTACCTTCATGCCTGTGGTATTGCAAAAATGTTCCAAGGCATTGATCTTCTTTTGTAAATTTAAAGGTGTATCAGCAATAGATGACACGTCATCAGCAAACATAAGTGCATATATTGCTGGGCAGTCTTTAGTAATAAAGACAGTTTGTCCTCCATAATTTTCCATAAAATTTACAAGTTTATTTATGAATATTAAAAACATCTGAGGGCTGAGGATGCATCCTTGACGGGTACCTATATTACACTTAAAGTATTTGGATAACCCAGTAGGTGTTCTAACACAGGCACACAGTTTATTGTACAGTGATGTAATAATAGACAGAAACTTTCCGCAGACACCAATATCAGCCAAACTCTGTAACAACATATTGTGATCAACATTATCAAAAGCTTTTGAGAAATCTACAAATAAGCAGTAGAACCTTCCTTTCTTTTTACATGCATACTTTTGGATAATGGCCTGTAGTGAAAATATATGATCTGTCGTGGAATAGTTGGGTCTAAATCCAGCTTGAGATTCGTCAATGATATTGTTATCATCACACCACCTCTGTAGTCTAGCATTAAGAATAGATGTAAATACTTTGCATATGGTATCAATGAGTGATATACCTCTATAATTGTTGGCATCATTCATATCACCAGACTTGAACAGAGGACAGATGATACTTTTCCCCCACACATCTGGAAAGTTACCACTCTCAAAGATTTTGTTAAATGTAATAACTAAAATTGGTGTAATTTGTTTCTCTGAAGACTTTAAAAATTCAGCAGCAATACCATCAGGCCCAGGGGATTTATTATTCCCAAGCTGTTTTATTTGACTTGATATTTCTTCTGCTAGAATAGGAATGTTAATTGTTAGATCATTATTGTCAGGGATATGGTACATACTGCTATCAAGTGCAAGATCCTGCCTAAAAAGAAGAGACATAAAATGGTTAGTCCATTGCTCAGTATTAATTGATTGAGTGACTGCATTAAATGGTTTACTATCCTTGAGCAGTTTCCAGAACAACTTTGGGTTGTCTCTTGCAGCTATCAGTTTTTCTCTCTGTGCTTCAAGAAATGAGTTTTTCTTTCTACTAAAAGCATTTTTAAACATTGATCTTAAGTGTCTAAAAAGTGAAAAATCTTCCCCATGATCTCTGTGAGCTCTCAGGGCTTTGTATTTGTCATGTTTAATTAATTCAAGTTCATCATCCCACCAGGGAGGCTGCTGATTTCTCCTGAAGTTAGAATTTAAACCATATACTTTTTTGGTGTGTTCTGCAGCTTCTTGATAATAACTGACTAAACAAGATACTGCTGTATTACAATTATTATTAGCTAGTTGTAAGATATAATCATAATGCTCTACTAATATACCCTCAAGCTTGTGCAAGAAGGTTTCTTTAGCACCTTCATTCCACACATATTTCTCCCAACTGCCTCCACCTTCCTTTTCCAGATTACAGTTGGAGTTACTCCTTGTGTTACCTGGGGCTGGGGGTTGACTATATTTACCAGATGAGGTACCCTGACTATTGAGTGAGCAATATAAGGGGAAGTGATTGGAGTGATCCTGTGTACCAACCCCAAAGTTAGAGAAATATGGAAAGAGAGAAGAGGAGGCAATCATGTAATCCACAGCACTTGATCCATTATGAGTGAAACATGTGAATTCACCATTTGTATCATTAAACAATCTCCCATTCAATGTGTGAATACCAAAGGTCCTACACAATTCAACAAGTCTTTTGCCAAAATTATTATGTGTCACTGAGTCTCTGTTTTTTCTTGGCATATCAAATGTATCAGAGGGATAATCATCAACATCTCTCTGAATAAAGTCAATATTGTCATCCGGGATATAGTCAAGGAAGTCCTTTGTCCTTGCATTAAGATCACCAGCAAGAAATATATGCTTGTGTGGGTGTTCCCCAACAATAATGTTCAAGTAGTTTTCAAGATGAGTAAATCCATCACTATCTATATTCTCATTAACTGGTGAATTTTCGGGTGAGATATAAGTAAATATCAAAACACAGTCAGAGTCCCATGATAAACTTGATGTTTTGAATAAAAGTACAACAGTATTTTCAAAATTATCATAAAGCCTACATAACAGTCCACTATCTAGCCAATGAGAGCGTATCAAAACTGTGATACCACCACTATATCGCCCGAACGTGTGTGTCTTGGGACGGACACAGTTTAGCGCACGAAAACCGGACAAGAAGTCCGAGAATTCATCGGACCGTCTCACAAATGACTCACAAAACGCGATCAAGTCAAAATGTTCACAAAGACTTTTTACCTGAGATGTCGAGTTTTCATATTTTCGCAGTCCTTCTATATTCCACGAGAGAATATCAAATGTTGGGCCGTGGCCGTCACATCACTTACCAAAATTGTCAACATTGGGAGTTAACTCCCCTGAAGGAGGTGTGTCTCGGTTTGTGTTGCTTCCGGGTCCAAACAAATCACTCCATGAACGATCGCGAAAAGAGGGCCTTGCATCACGATGCGTACCCCCACCTGTAGACACCTTCTTCACACACTTGTCTTGTCGGTCGTACATATATACCTGCCCTTCCACAATAAGCTTGTTAACACGTATGTTAGGTCGTTTCCCGCTGTCTCTGGCTTCTTGAAAGTAGGTAGACAGTGCGCGTCTATCCTCTCGTATTTTCTGTGGGAAATCCTCTGTTACACGTGATCGGTGATTTCTATCTTGTTGTTCCCGTCCTCTCTTGAAAATATCACTCTTGTCTTTTGTCAGTAGGAATTTAGCTATGATAGGAGAATCACTTTTGCCAGGGTTGAGGCGGTGAGCACGAATAATAACAATATCATTTGCCTTCTCCATGTGTAACTCGTCGCGCAGAAACTCTCTCACGTTTGACTCGGACTGATCCCATGTTTCGCCCCTCTCTCCAGATATTCCATGGAATATTAAGTTGTTTCGCCGCTCACGACACTCTTGATCCTCGAGATTTTCTTCCAAACTAGACAGAGAAAGTCTCAGTTGTGTATTTTCATGTTGAAGCGAGGCTAGCTGCTCGTGGAAATCAGACGCCATTTTTGTGACCTTGTCATCGAGTCTCTCAAATTTATTGTTTATGTCCGTGGTGTTAGATTTAATGTCCATTAAAATCGCCATCAAGTCGCTGTTTTCATTTTCCGTTGCCGATATCTGTAACGATCCTGTTTCAGACACGGACAAAGTTGACTGATTTCGGGTATTGTGTGCGGGGCCGGACTTAGGTGGGCCTGGGTTCGTCTCGACACAACCATCTGCTACAAGTAGCAAACTCAGACAGATCAAATCCCGTAGGCACATCGAGAAACACTTTTTGCTAATTTTGATACCTTTCATGCTTCTTCTCGCTTTGTTTGGTTGTACAAACAGTCCCATTTTAGCTCTATATTGGGAAAGAGAGATCCCCATGGTGGGAGCTAAGAAAAACACGTCCACCCTGTTCAAACTCACGCATGGTAGAACATTCAAACACGAGATCACAGGATATATGGATTAAGAATGAACAAGACATCATTATCCCCCTTAAATACAAAGATATGGATTGATAAGGATGGTGTAACTACCTATGTTTATGGTTATGGTGGTAATATTGTATCGTCGGGAACTATGACCAACTCTTCTCGTACAAATGCCCTGCCCGGTCCATCTTTAAGATAATAAAGAATAGGCTCTCCTTCTTTCATAACCAATCGACTAATGTTATATGTCTTAAGGGACCAAATCGGATCGGTTGCGCGACGTAGGCCTCCTTCGAATTCACCGGGCTGGTATAAACATCTTACGCTTACTCTATCCGGAAGTTTTTTTTCTCCTCGGTGCTGAAGATTCAGAAGTCACAGATTTCATTTTAACCGCATCGGATGGTTTCTTCCCGATTTATCTCGTTACTTCATTATTCAGCGCTGATATTACCTACTACTAGCACAGAGTTGTTAGCAACTATGACCTGCTACTAGTAGGTACAAAGACGGTCTCTACGTCTCTGGAGACTAACATTTACTGCTACTACTAGCTAAAGGCAAAGGAGCATGTCTAAAATGATTTTCATTGGTCAACGAGTCTACGTAGACGGTCTGCAAGCCAGGCTCGGTCTCAACAGAAAAATAAAAAGATTACCGCAAAGCAACTTCAGCCTGTAACCATGCAGCTAGCTTTCTGGATGTAGAAGTAGCTTCGTAATGGTGAAATGCGCCTGCAAACCTTTCAACCACCATTCCAGTATGTTCCCAGTCACCTGGAATTACAAATAGAATCTACATTATCATGAAGAAAATTATACGGTAACCATTGATAAATAATTTTTTTATTTGAAGATTACACGATATACGGCTTTTCCATTGGACGAGAGGTCGGTCACATGACCGCGAAATTGACGTTCATAAGTGTATGAACGACACAATTTGACGTTCATACGTTTTTCACGAGACCGTGTTCTTGAAATGACGTAAACACTGACGGACTACTTCCACATTCCTGGGGAAACCCCTGGGAATTCCCTACCACGAAAACATGCATAAGCGTTCTTTCTGATCATTTAGAACCTTTATTCTTGGTCTCAGCGTTTCAGTATGCTTTGAGAAATGTCAGAGAGCGTGACTGCATGATTGTTCACGAATATCCTCGCTACCGCCCATCCAACAAACGAAGAAATGCACATCTAAACTATCGTAGTATCGACTCGATCCGTGCCTAGGCTGACATTGACCGTCTCAAGCAATCTATGAATTTACCTTTGTGTCTGTTTTTACGCATCTTTATTCACCTTTCAATGATCGGCCAGTTGATTAATGATGACTAACACATGTAACCGCCAAAGGTTCATCAACAACTTCGGAAATCTCTCCCGTCACGTTTATCGTGTCGGCCATTTTGACGTCTTGTACTTGATGTAAATGTATTACGACGCGCTGTCATTGTGACTGACTTACTGAGGTAGTTCGTTACAGACCTTTCTCATCTAATGAGGATATGATTTGAACACATGTGCTGCGTAAGATGTTTCTGGAGAGCAAGTTGTGCATCCATACGCCCATGTCACCTCTCTTTTGGAGGAACTATTTTACTCCGCGATATAGCTAGTTGTTGTATGGCTGTCAGTGTAAACATGAAGTCACACGTACTAAATAAAATTGTGTTTAGATCTAGGCCTACATCTTTTTAGGTAAGAAATTGTGATAAAAAAATTATAAGAATTGACCTTCACTTTGTGTGAGTTCATTGGAGTATGAACCTTCATAGAGTGAGGGCCAAACATTGTATGAACGTCGTCGCAAGCTCCGACGTTCATACAGTTTGGCCCTCACTCTATGAAGGTTCATACTCCAATGAACTCACATAAAGTGAAGGTCAATTCTTAAATAAATACTCTTCAATATTCCTACCATTGCCACAAATGGGAACGTAATGTCGTGCGTGTTTTCTACAGGTAGCCTTGCATTCTTTGCGTCCCTAGAAACAACGTCGACGTGCACAAGCAAGGTCACGCATCATAAATGCCGTTTATTCTAAAAGAAAGAGTGCTTTACCGATACAGTATGTCCTACAGTACTACCTATCGTATATTGTATTGGAGTTGTTGCCTGGTATCAAGCGGCCATGTTTTGACGCGAATCACTTGCATCCAAAGACGATTTGGTCATGTTCCTTTTCAGAATCGCTCGTTTCTTTTAGTAATTTAAGATTATGACTAGGCCTACAGCATCTAACTAACTGTAATCCTCTGATAACTAAATGTCTGAAGGCAAAATACCATTTTATTGATGAATATATCTCCATTTAACTCATACAGTTTAGTGTAGGGTGTAATGTCTGAATGTTTTTGTTGACAGTAGCAGACACTACATCTGCCTATGAGCAATGGACAGAACTGAGAATACCATATCATGAACAGTAGTGAACACTGCTGGCAACATCCTGTTTTAGTAAGTATAATTGAATCCCCAATTATAATGTCATTGTACATACAAAAAACGACATAGTGTTTTTAAATAGTGATCTGTTTGGCAGTGTTTTATATATTGTATATTTTTCTTTTCACTTTGTCTACTGGCCTGCATTTGTCCTTGTCATTTTCCAGTTATTTCTGATACATTCCAAAATATGATTTGTCTGTACAGTACCAGCACACTTTAATAAGGACTAAGAGCAAATGTGCCTATTTCTCAGTGTTTTAGACAATTTGTGTTGTACCCAAATAGAGGGAATGTTGATACTGTAGTTCTTGTTAATGTCTTGGTGGCAAGTGCCACATGATCATGGGCACCACTTCAGCATGTTTAGTTATACACATTTACCAGTGAAGATCAGGGTCAGAATAGGTCTTCAGCAAACCATGCTTGCTTTAAGAGGCGACTATCCTTGTCATAAGAGGCGACTAACGTGATTGAGGGGTCAGGCTCAGAGACCATGTTGATGCATGTCATCGTATCCCATTTCCATGGATTGATGCTCATGATGTCAATTACTGGATTGTCAGGTCCAGATTTGATTATTTACAGGCAGCTGTCAAAGCACGAATATTGCCTAGTACAGCATTAAACAACAAACAAACAAAGTTATACAGTTCAATTTTTTAAATAATCTTATACTCCAGTATTATAATGTGCTATTTTTATTGATTATTATGAATACAGACTGTTTGTATCAGTTTGTAAGAGACACAAACCAAGGTTCCCACAGCTATCTGCACATGCTTGTCGTAACACAATTAATATGGTATCTTCAGGTTATGTATGTTTGTAAAATGTGCTAGAAAGTGTCCACTTTAGTTGTAAAATCAGTATCTTCCTCACAACAGAGCTAATGTGCACTACCTTGTTGTGGTATTTTTTGTTGAACTCGTCTCTGTCTTTCTCAAGTTATGTTTGTGCAAGGTGCCTACCTGGTGTATTGATAATATTACCTGACAAGAGTCAAGTTTGCTCATCATATTCTGAGATAAGTGTCTCCAATCTAATAGAAATGGGAAAAGTAATACAAGCGAGTCACCATCATTTTAACCGGTGCTAGGGATGTCAGCATAAAGTATGGTATATGTTTTTTTATTAATATGTATATTAAAACTCTTCGCACCTGGATTGGAAGAATTGAACATTATAAAGAAAACTGCTATGTTCCTTTTCAGCTGACAGGCTGTTTGTGGAAGATGTACAGTCAAGTGCTAGGGCCCCCTGTTTAGTTTAGACCTACATTGTGAATGTTGTGCACTAGACCATGGAGCCTGGTCACTTCAGGGTTTACCCAAGCCTCTTAAAACTGGGGACAAATTCAATTTCTAATCTTAAAAATATCATCTTGATTCTCTAATCATACTGTTAAAATTATATTTTACATACTTCTCTACTCTCTGTGGAATTCCTAATCCAATTAAATAGTAATGTCCAATATTTTTATTATATTTGCAGATAACAAATTGCTATAGACTAACAAGGCAACTGCTATATTATATTCTGACTCTTTACTGGACTCACCAGACTCTGCGCTGTATACTACTGAACACAATGAAGGATCAACGTCTTTTCATTTCGGAATTCAAGTAGTAAGCGGTAGCCTGTTGTCTGGTACTTTAAAGTATACTATAATGCATGTACTAATTCTTTATTACTGTAAACACATAACATGTTTTGCTTGAGCAATTCTTCCTGAAAAGACCCCAATTTTGAAACGCAAGTCTAGTAATATTGTGCTCGATGTAGTAAGTCCAATTAATAATAGTCAATATGACAACACTAAAATCCTGTTCGGGCTAGTTGACCCATCATTTTGGGGCACAGACAGCTCATGTAATTCAATATATGGTGACAATGTTGCACGAGGTTCTGTTGTGTGTATTTCAATAACTTGCACATTTATGAACTTTAACCTTAATGTAATCCTTGAATCCAGTGATGCTTTATTTTTACATTTCTTTAATAACCTACAATTGTTATGAAGCTGTCATTTTTTGTGTGGTTCCAGAAATAAAGTCGCCAGAAATGCATTCAAAATTTTTATCTGAGTTTGAGCATGACAAACATGGCAGATATGTTTAAAATGTTGTTTTCTTCCACTACTCAGACATGTAAGCTATTGTACAGTAAGTCATCTATAATGTAAAAACATGTTGATTCTTTTGTTTGCATATTTAGCTATTCCAGAACTGTTAGATGATATTAAATTGCCGTAGAAGGTATTTATTTCCATCTATAATGTCATTATGGTATACCAGTGTGTATGACAATTGTTTTGAAGTTCATCAATATCTTCAAATATGATCTATTGTATCCAGTGAATGACATGTAAGAAAGAAGGAAGTTAGGCAGCACCCAATCAGAGAGCGTACCATTAGACACATGTGATCAAAGGGGTTCCAATTCAACACATTGCCCTTGCGTATGATGGTCACTGTCCAATGTTATTCACGGATCTCTGTGTTTGAAAAACCAACTCATCCTGATAACAGGTTTCTGATTATATTGCCTATTCACTTACACAAGATACACAATTTTGAGTAATAAACAGCTGAATGTAGAAATCTGTTAATGTTGACAGGAAGAGAACAATCATTACCTTAGGGTTATGTTAAATATCATTAACATGATTAAGGCTTTAATGACTTGTTGATAAATAAGAAATACACGCAGCAAATTCTGTCATTGTCATTGTAGTATTTGTCTATACTATTACTTAAACACTACATTAATAGCCATAATCACATTCAATTACAGGGATCGATTTCTCTACATACAAGCCCCACCAGTGCAGGTAAAAACATTGCTGGGTCCACTTGCACAGAACAATCTTAGCACTTCAATTATTGTAAATCCTTAAGATCACGATCTTAGGCTTCAGCTACAATCGCTGTCCAATTGATCAAAGGGATTGTAGGCTGTGATCATTGTAAGCTACAAGCGAAACTTACAATTGGTCCAAACCAACCTTAAGTAGCTAAGATCGTTGTGGTCCCTGAATAAACTTGACAAAATGGCGTGCAGGACCTCATCTAATTCACATAAATATTCTGCCTTATGTTCAAATATTGCCCCGTTATTTTGTTAACTTCAATCAACACTTTAATTTAAGATTTAACGTCAGAAATATTGTTAATTGCAATAGTGAACCGCGTAACTATCGAATCGATAGCTAAAAGTAAAAGTACTATACCCACCGGACTCAATGCTGAAAGAAGTGTGAAACAACATACCTTTTCACTAATCAAGGGAAGGATAAAAAGTTGTATGCAAGCGATTAGTAACGTCCGTGACCTTTTCGATAACTCAAGGGCAGCTAATCATAGTTTATACTCTAGATGAGAGTGGTTTCCCTTTGTGTAAGCATTTAGCGTAGAATCTATCTTGCCCAGTGTATTAATGTTGTAGAATTGCTGAGCTCCCCCTGTTATTCTTATGGGTCCCATTCGTGTCAGTTATTTTGTCTTTAGTTCATCATTAAATTAATCTACAAATAAATATTAGATGAAGTCAAACATGTTTAAATCTAAAATCGAGTTGGCAGGGGACAAGGGATTTTTAAATCTGAATTAAAAAGAAAAGAAAAGTATTTATTAAACAAGCAAATACACATGATGAGACATTTGAAATTCGTGTAAAATACCCCATAAATAGCAAAAGTAAAATTTACACCTTTTAAAAATAATTATCAATATAATTAATACCAAGTGAATATATATTAAACAACTGCTTTCTCGAAACATTATTCATTATTATTATTTACCATGCATTCTTGAAATCCTGCGTCTTCCTGTGTTTTGAAAAGGTACTCATAACATCCTTTGTCACAGCAACGAAATGAAAGCATGAAGGATATATTTAGGATTTTACGAAAAGCTCCCCCGTGTTATGTTATTAGGAAATATATTTAGTATTATTTATTTTAATTTTCATAATGATTGTGTCACTAAATAATATATTTATTCGTATTTCAATACTTTTGATAAAAAAACATGAGTAGGTATTTCTCTAGTTGTAACAGATAACAATTCCTAAATCATGACACTATTAATGCCGACAAAAATATATGCCATCATTCTAGTAATCGTTTCCTTCAAATAATTGGCACATTTCTTGAAACTGTGCAAGGTGCGATGGAGGGAGGTACGTGTTGTGTGTCGTGAACAGTTCCACTTATTGTATACGCAGCAAGCTATGCGCGTTTGCAGACAACTGTAGACAGGAGTCGAGTTTAAGATATTTGTACCTCCACCGTTGAAGATTTCATCTCTTAGATAAGCCGTCTTACAATCACACTAAGATGGGTTTGTGCAAGTGGAATAGGACAATTGTATGGTGATTGTAAAATTGATTGTAACTGCCTAAGATCGATTGTAACTAAGATGCAAGTAGGCCCAGTCGTCGGTAACTTTTAGGTGAGGTTAGGTTGCACCCAGTGCAGGTAACATTTCCAACCATAAGTGGAAAACTGAATTCTTTTAGAACTGGCTGCAAGTCTTTTCGAATTCAGGAAACAAAATTTCATGAAAATAGTGAAATACACAGGTGGTCTGAATGCATTGAACTTGCAGGACTCATTCTTCACATTTACCAATAGAACAGTCACTCATGAGGTTACAATCACAACAGACACTTTGAGACTTCTGTTTAAGGTTGTTTACTCGATATCATGATATGTAAAGGCATTACAGATTCACCTCAAAATAAATTCTGGAGCACATTCTCAAGGGTTTTTTTTCTCTGAATTTATTTAATATTCAAAATAACAGAAAATTTTGGTGGTGCAACCTGCTTAGTTCACTTTGTTGCACCTGGTGCAGGTGGTAAGACAGAATGAAATCGTACCCTGAATTATAGACCAAGGCCCCGATGACTGTATGACTATGGAGTAGCATTGATTATCATCGTCATATTTTTTATTTCAGTTGGCACACAACAGCATCTCTCCTGATCAAGTGAAAAGGAATCCTATGACACCGCTTGATCTTTGTCTGACATGGAAATCTGCAAATCAAATAAGGTGGAAGAATAACATCTGGTTAAAAAATTTATGTGGAAAAGTAAGTTTTTCAACATTTTGGGTAAGATTAAACTTCCAAATTTCATCAGGGGTTTGAAAATTAAAGGATGATAAATTCCTCATGGCTTGTTATGTGTTATTTATCCACTGTTTCCTTTGTTTGGACTTTTATTTTTATAAAATATACATTAAATGTAAAACTAGGCAAAGAGTCAGCAAAATCAGTCAAAATCAAGAAGGTCCGAAATTGCAAACATAACTGCATTGAGGCGGGTGTCTGAGTTGAAACAAATATTGATCTGAACAATAATCTGTCAGCAGGTCAGAAATCACCCACGTAACTGCTGTTATCTGAACACAGTTCAGGTTTGAGATTCACCATGAACTTTTCAGGTATTGAGGGGCTGTGGGGTCCAAAAGTCATCTGAAAATGATGAACATAAAATAGAATGGTCATGTGTGTAAAGACATGTTATTTTCAATAGTCACTTTCAAATTTATCTTCCTTTAAGGTGGTCGAAAATAACATGGCTGCAGATATAACGACACAAAACATAGACCAATGTTGATATATTTTAACCAAATTCAGTCTGTAGATGTGTTATGTGTTCAGGTACCAAGCGTTGAAGTCAACCTTCAGTTGTTTAAAACTTTTACTTTAATGACAATCCCAGAAATCCTAGAATCACAAAAATCAGTCCATCGTGGTGATTCTGTGTTAGAATAGGTCCACTGCAACCTATCCTTGTTATAAGGGACGAGTTAAGTGATTGGGTGGTCAGGTTCGGTTACTTGGTTAGCTGCTTGTTATTGTAACAAGATGACAGTGATAATATCTAGATTCTAAATATGGCCACCATGTCAACCATATTGAATTTGTCGTCGATGCTAAATTAGATTACATTGTACTTTGGTGCATAGTATATTTTTTTTTAACTGCTGTTACTTTAACTGCACATACTTCACATGTGCCCCCTTATCTATATTTACTGCATTTTCGTTTAGTCCTTTTGGTTTTATGCATATACCGGTAAATTGGAGTGATGAATGGAAAATATCAACACTGTAAATGGTGACACAGGAGTGTATTAAATGTTATGAATTGATCTAAGTGTTAAAATGAAATTGATATTGAGAAAACAGCCACATAATAAAACATATAAGTACCCTTTATCAGAGCGGCAAATCAGTTCTAGAAAGGTGAATTTTATTGGGATTCCAAACTGTATATTTGTTCAAGATAAGTATTTGAAATATCTGATGTTGGTTCTTTTTGTAATGTTGCAACATAAACATAAATACAGTCATCCCTTGCTAAAACACCCTTCATGAAATACCACAGATTGGGTTAAACTTCAGGTAAAATAAATACTTCCCCCACAAACGCATTTTTAGGTCATCGGAAATAGCATATCAACAAATCTGCTCTGAAGTTAGTCCTGTTGTAAGGATGCACAGATGTTCTTGAGAAGTGTTCATTGTATACATCTAGACTTAGGACATATGTGTGCAATCTATTTGATTAAGTTTAGTCATATTTTTTATTTGAAACACTATGTGCTTCTTAAAACACTTGCCTTCAACTATTTGTTCTTATGTTTTTGATCGTGCAACTTTCTATGTACTTATTGGGTTGGAATAATCAAAAGGGTAGCAGTTTTGGGGCACCATTGCTGAGATATATGCCAGAAAATAAATCTTGAAAGTGTGCTTTCACTAATTGTTGTTAATAAAGTGTATAAATGGACTGAGAAATGTGTGAATTTGAAATATTTGAAATATTTTATTTGAGGTTTGAGATAAAATGCAAATTTTACAGTATTTTAACAGAGCTCCAGATAAGATTTTTGATTCATTTTTTTGTGGTTTCAGATATCTGCTTTAAAGTGATGTCATGAACTGGACGCTGCACTCTTGATTCCAACACTAATATTGTCATGACCAAATGTTAAAGTTCATATTCAGCAAGTTGAAGATAACTGACACCATCTTTAAGTATAAGTTTCACAAATATGGTATTCAGAAGTTTTTTGTTTTCACTACTGATGTATATATAGTATAAAAAAATGGATTTCTGTAATAGAATAAAGTATTGGAATACATGTGATACTAGTTGTGTTTCCGTCACCACAATCTCATTAAAATCAGACCTTAGTTCTCGCTACCGCTTAACAAAGACCTGAAGACATCCCATTAGGAGTCACGTCAGAACAACCTTTCATTCGACCAATCAGAGCGTCGCTTACCAGATCATGAAAGTGACAGTCAGAATGTGATTTCTAATCATACAACCTCGAAAACTTTAACACAGGGTATTTCGAAAGATAGTTATAGGTTTAACGACTGAATCCATACAATCTAGACCATCTATTAGCCACTCCAGAATGTTCTTTTGTTTAGTTTTCAAATTTGTAATCGAGAATTTGTCCAAATATGTTTCGAAGCGTAGTCGACAATTTGAAATTAGTGCCGTAAAGCACGAGAAAGCTGCCTTTGATTGGTCATTCTATTGGTCGGTCAAAGTTCACACAAGGTCGGTCTGACGTGACCCGTAATGGGATGTCCTCAGATCTTTGTTTGGCAGTAGCAAGAACTAAGGTCTGATTTTAATGAGATTGCCGTCACCATAGTGTGGATGTTTTATGCTGTTTGAGAGAAAAGTTGGCCTAATGGTCTAAAATGCTTCAACACTGCAGAGTTGTGTCGATTGGTTATGTGAGGATCCATTCTGATCACTGGTTTGGAGAATAGTGACCTTAAGCTGAACAGATGGACATGTGGCAGTGTGATTTGAAAGTGAGACACAAATTTATGCCACCACATGAGGTATTGTGCTGCTGAAACGAAGGATCGTTTTCTGGATTTGAACCCATGAACAGTACATCAAGTTCCATCAACCACGACAATTGGGACACTTGTGCACCCAAGTTTCTCTCACTCTACTTCAGCACAATTGCAGTACCATAAAGGCAGAAATTAATAAGTAGGGTCTGTGTGACTAATAAAGCAGTTTCTTGTCACTTTTCAGCCCAGTTTTATATCACAATTAGACATATATTGGGTAGGAACACTAACCCTAACCCTGACGATTCATGTTTCTGTTGAGATACGATGACATCAGCATCTGTATCAGAAATAACCAAGTTTTACATCACAATAAGACACATATTGGGTAGAAAACCTAACCCTAACACCTTATTATTCATGTTTCTGTTGAGATTTCATCACATCAGCGTCTGACTCAAGAATAACGCAGTTTTACATCACTTCCGGACACATATTGAGTAGAAACCCTAACCCTTGCACCTCATGATTCATGTTTCTGTTGAGATACAAGAACATCAGCGTCTGTATCAGGAATAACCCAGTTTTACATCACTGTCGGACATATACTCAGTTGAAAACCTAACCCTAGCACTTTATCATTCATGTTTCTGTTGAGATACAAGAACATCAGCGTCTGTATCAGGAATAATCCAGTTTTACATCACTGTCGGACACATATTGAATAGAAACCCTAACCCTAGCACCTCATGATTCATCTTTCTGTTGAGATACAAGAACATCAGCGTCCGTATCAGGAATAACCCAGTTTTACATCACTGTCGGACATATACTGAGTAGAAACCCTAACCCTAGCACCTTATCATTCATGTTTCTGTTGAGATACAAGAACATCAGCGTCCGTATCAGGAATAACCCAGTTTTACATCACTGTCGGACATATACTGAATAAAAACCCTAACCCTAGCACCTTATCATTCATGTTTCTGTTGAGATACAAGAACATCAGCGTCCGTATCAGGAATAACCCAGTTTTACATCACTGTCGGACACATATTGAATAGAAACCCTAACCCTAGCACCTCATGATTCATGTTTCTGTTGAGATACAAGAACATCAGCGTCCGTATCAGGAATAACCCAGTTTTACATCACTGTCGGACATATACTGAGTAGAAACCTTAACCCTAGCACCTCATGATTCATGTTTCTTTTGAGATACAAAATCATCAGCGTCTGTATCAGGAATAATCCAGTTTTACATCACTGTCGGACATATACTGAGTAGAAACCCTAACCCTAGCACTTCCTGATTCATGTTTCTGTTGAGATACAAGAACATCAGCGTCTGTATCAGGAATAATCCAGTTTTACATCACTGTCGGACACATATTGGGTAGAAACCCTAACCCTAGCACCTCATGATTCATGTTTCTGTTGAGATACAACAACATCAGCGTCCGTATCAGGAATAATCCAGTTTTACATCACTGTCGGACATATACTGAATAGAAACCCTAACCCGAGCACCTCATGATTCATGTTTCTGTTGAGATACAAGAACATCAACGTCTGATTCAAGAATAACGCAGTTTTACATCACTGTCGGACATATACTGAATAGAAACCCTAACCCTAGCACCTCATGATTCATGTTTCTGTTGAGATACAAGAACATCAGCGTCTGATTCAAGAATAACGCAGTTTTACATCACTGTCGGACATATACTGAATAGAAACCCTAACCCTAGCACCTCATGATTCATGTTTCTGTTGAGATACAAGAACATCAGCGTCTGATTCAAGAATAACGCAGTTTTACATCACTGTCGGACATATACTGAATAGAAACCCTAACCCTAGCACCTCATGATTCATGTTTCTGTTGAGATACAAGAACATCAGCGTCTGTATCAGGAATAATCCAGTTTTACATCACTGTCGGACATATACTGAGTAGAAACCCTAACCCTAGCACCTCATGATTCATGTTTCTGTTGAGATACAAGAACATCAGCGTCTGTATCAGGAATAATCCAGGTTTACATCACTGTCGGACATATACTGAATAGAAACCCTAACCCTAGCACCTCATGATTCATGTTTCTGTTGAGATTTCATCACATCAGCGTCTGTATCAGGAATAACCCAGTTTTACATCACTGTCGGACATATACTGAGTAGAAACCCTAACCCTAGCACCTCATGATTCATGTTTCTGTTGAGATACAAGAACATCAGCGTCCGTATCAGGAATAATCCAGTTTTACATCACTGTCGGACATAAACTGAATAGAAACCCTAACCCTAGCACCTCATGATTCATGTTGCTGTTGAGATACAAGAACATCAGCGTCTGTATCAGGAATAACCCAGTTTTACATCACTGTCGGACATAAACTGAATAGAAACCCTAACCCTAGCACCTCATGATTCATGTTTCTGTTGAGATTTCATCACATAAGCGTCTGTATCAGGAATAACGCAGTTTTACATCACTGTCGGACACATATTGAGTAGAAACCCTAACCCTAGCACCTCATGATTCATGTTTCTGTTGAGATACAAGAACATCAGCGTCTGTATCAGGAATAACCCAGTTTTACATCACTGTCGGACATATACTGAGTAGAAACCCTAACCCTAGACCTCATGATTCATGTTTCTGTTGAGATACAAGAACATCAGCGTCTGATTCAAGAATAACGCAGTTTTACATCACTGTCGGACATATACTGAGTAGAAACCCTAACCCTAGCACCTCATGATTCATGTTTCTGTTGAGATACAAGAACATCAGCGTCTGTATCAGGAATAACCCAGTTTTACATCACTGTCGGACATATACTGAGTAGAAACCCTAACCCTAGCACCTCATGATTCATGTTTCTGTTGAGATACAAGAACATCAGCGTCTGTATCAGGAATAACCCAGTTTTACATCACTGTCGGACATATACTGAATAGAAACCCTAACCCGAGCACCTCATGATTCATGTTTCTGTTGAGATACAAGAACATCAGCGTCTGTATCAGGAATAATCCAGGTTTACATCACTGTCGGACATATACTGAATAGAAACCCTAACCCTAGCACCTCATGATTCATGTTTCTGTTGAGATTTCATCACATCAGCGTCTGTATCAGGAATAACCCAGTTTTACATCACTGTCGGACATATACTGAGTAGAAACCCTAACCCTAGCACCTCATGATTCATGTTTCTGTTGAGATACAAGAACATCAGCGTCTGATTCAAGAATAACGCAGTTTTACATCACTGTCGGACATATACTGAGTAGAAACCCTAACCCTAGCACCTCATGATTCATGTTTCTGTTGAGATACAAGAACATCAGCGTCTGTATCAGGAATAACCCAGTTTTACATCACTGTCGGACATATACTGAATAGAAACCCTAACCCTAGCACCTCATGATTCATGTTTCTGTTGAGATACAAGAACATCAGCGTCTGTATCAGGAATAACCCAGTTTTACATCACTGTCGGACATATACTGAATAGAAACCCTAACCCGAGCACCTCATGATTCATGTTTCTGTTGAGATACAAGAACATCAGCGTCTGTATCAGGAATAATACAGGTTTACATCACTGTCGGACATATACTGAATAGAAACCCTAACCCTAGCACCTCATGATTCATGTTTCTGTTGAGATTTCATCACATCAGCGTCTGTATCAGGAATAACCCAGTTTTACATCACTGTCGGACATAAACTGAATAGAAACCCTAACCCTAGCACCTCATGATTCATGTTTCTGTTGAGATTTCATCACATAAGCGTCTGTATCAGGAATAACCCAGTTTTACATCACTGTCGGACACATATTGAGTAGAAACCCTAACCCTAGCACCTCATGATTCATGTTTCTGTTGAGATACAAGAACATCACCGTCTGTATCAGGAATAATCCAGTTTTACATCACTGTCGGACATATACTGAATAGAAACCCTAACCCTAGACCTCATGATTCATGTTTCTGTTGAGATACAAGAACATCAGCGTCTGATTCAAGAATAACGCAGTTTTACATCACTGTCGGACATATACTGAGTAGAAACCCTAACCCTAGCACCTCATGATTCATGTTTCTGTTGAGATACAAGAACATCAGCGTCCGTATCAGGAATAATCCAGTTTTACATCACTGTCGGACATATACTGAGTAGAAACCCTAACCCTAGCACCTCATGATTCATGTTTCTGTTGAGATACAAGAACATCAGCGTCTGTATCAGGAATAATCCAGTTTTACATCACTGTCGGACATAAACTGAATAGAAACCCTA